GAGGCCCCTGTCAAGTGCTTGCATCATGCAGGGGGTCAGGTTACATAGGATGACGGGTGAGCTGGGGAGGAGGAGCACACACATGCGATAAAGTAAAATGAGAGGCAGTTTCTGTCTTTTAGGAGTTCTCTTTCTATTAGGGTCAGGTATAAAATAGAGTTAGGAATCAGAATACTATATTGTAATTCTGTTACTAGCTGGTCAAGTGAGCCTTATAGGGTAAAGGTAGTCACTTGTAAAGTGAAAGAATCACATGAAGGGATGGACCGTATAAATAAAGGAATAAATAAAGGAATTAAACATAATCAGCATTTTTTCTAATATACTATTAAAAAAACAAGTTTGGCTAATTTGTGGGAAGAACCCCCACTCCCCCACCTCCCATTGCACTAGCGAGATTCACACTGCATTTAGTATATCAAAGGCTCCCAAAGTTGGCTATAAAGAAATCTTAAATTTAGCACTTCCCAAACATTTTTTGAGATGATAATTTGTTAACTTCTGCAGAACTTGCTTTGGAAAATGATCTGTACACCTGTTCCAGCTTTAGAATTCCACTACTGTTAATAATATTCGTCCTTAGAGACCCCATCACTCTGTCATTGTGCAGTCTTTCACTGAGGCTTTGGTTTGAACTAATATGCTGCTGTTCACCTTTCATGACCATTACTGTTACTTAAATCCTTAACACAAAACTAAAACAAGACTGGATTAGATGACCTCTGTACAAACCCTGACATTTTAGGATTCTTTGAAAATTGTAACAAAATCCACTCATGACAGAAAAGGATATATAACCCAGGCTATTATTACCACGGTGCTGGCATTTACTAAATGAGACCGTTGAGATGTAATTCCACAGCCTGACATTCTCTACACTGCTCTAGCTTCAGCACTATAAAATAGTGCTTTAGCAACTTCCTTTACCTATGCAAATACAAAAGGAGAGTGCAAGGACACTGAGGGTGTGTTGAACTGGCTCTCTAGATTGATTGGATATTTAACAGAGTTAAGAGTTCAATGGGAGTTTCCTGCCAAACCTGCTCTTTGTAGGAACGGCAACATTTTTTAATGTAAGTAAATTATTATAAAGCATTAGGAAACTATATGCCAAGTCAGTTGAGACCCATGGGTGGACAAGAGACAACTTGAGAATAACGACAGGAGCCATGCAACACTCAGTTTGGTCATATTCTACTTTTCTGCAGGGAATGGCTGTGACATGCCCCTTTCAGCTCTGCTTTGACACCTCTTATCACATTGTTTCTCCTTTGGTCCCATTTTCATGCCAACAAGATCACTCAAAAAAGTGATAGACACTAAAGACATAAACTCAAATTAGTTTTTTAAAACTGACCAGAGCTGTACCCATTAATAGGTGAGAAGAAAGATTATTAACCAATGTAATTAATCAGAAAGCAATTAAATTATTTTTCCTTTACAGTTAGTCTTACAGTGTGAAGCCTTCAGGTTTGGTCTGACTCCACTGTGAGAGGCTCAGCTGCCTTCACTGGAATGAATGGTGGAACTGGCTGTGACACTGCACTGACCATTTCTTTCCCTCTGTCTACTCCTTGGGGAATGCAGAGAGGATCTGGTGTGTTAAATGCCTTGTAGACCAGGAGGCGTCAGCCCTCAACAAGTATAAACAGTAGAGAGAAAAAGTGAGTAAGGGTACAGAATGTTTACAAGTTACTGTCTGCAAGCTTCTATAGAATATGTGCAATACAAGAGTAGTTACCAGAACCCAAAACAAAGAGACACCCCACCGATTGGGAGAAAATTTTTGCCCACAACACTAATGATAAAGGATTGATCACAAAAACCTACAAAGAGCTGATGAGACTCAACAAAAAACAAAGTAAATAATCCAGTCAAAAAATGGGCAGAGGAGATAAAAAGAAACATCTCTAAAGAGAAATTGCAAGTGGCCAACAGGTATATGAAAAAATGTTCAACATCACTTGTAATCAGGGAAATGCAAATCAAAACTACAATGAGATGCCATCTTACACCAGTGACTATGGCACATATTAAAAAAAACTAGCAAAAACAAATGTTTTTGCTAGGATGTGGAGAAAAAGGAACTCTCCTGCACTGTTGGTGGGAGTGCAAACTGGTTCAACCACTCTGGAAAGCTGTGTGGAGAGCCCTCAAACTGCTAAAGACGGAGCTTCCATATGATCCAGCGATTCCACTCCTAGGTATTTACCCAAAGGACACAGAAACATTAATTCAAAAGGGCACCTGCACCCCTATGTTTATAGCAGCACTATTTACAATAGCTAAGCTATGAAAACAACCCAAATGCCTAAAAAGAGATGACTGGATCAAGATGTGGTATATATACACAATGGAATATTATCCAGCAATCAAAAAGATAAACTCAGGCAATTTGCAGCAACATGGATGGAGCTGGAAGGGATCATACTCAGTGAAATACTCCGGAAAGAAAAAGAAAAATACTGGATGGTCTCACTCATAGCAGGAATTTAGAAAACCTAAATAAGGGGACAGGAAAAAACCTAATTATAATAGAGTAAAAATCAAAATCAAGAAGCAACTATAAACCAGAGACACACTTCGGGGGTGGGGGAAGAGGGAGTAGGATCAAAACAAGGCGGGTGGGAATTGTAGGGGGGACTATAACCAAGAAGAAAATGCATCCATTGCGCAAAAATGAAAAATGATGTAAAAAATGTATAAAATAAAAAAAATAATAATAAAAAAGAGTAGTTACTAGAAAACCCAGGACAGGGCCTCCCTGGTGGCTTAAGGGGTTAAGCACAGCACTATGAAGCAATCTGCAGCCTCTGCAGCACGAGTTTGATGTCCAGCCAGCCAGGGAACAACTCACATGGCGCAGCAGACCTTTCCTGTCTCACCTGATGCTCCCGTCAACAGTGATTTCAGTCACTCTGCCTGTTCTTTACCCCACTCTGTCTCTGGTGAATCCTCTCACCCCCGCACCTCTGGCCACCTGTACGCCAGCTCTTGTATGCATAAACAAATCAATCTTAAAAAAAAAAAGCCCATTTTGCAATTACGTTCTGAAGTAGAGTCACACTGCTTTATAACAAGTGTAATTGCTGCTTAAAATAAAATTATGAACAACAGGCTTTAAATGCTAATCTCAAAGTAAAGATAAAGCAAGATTTAATACAAAACATTCTTAAGTTTCAAAACTCTCAGGAACCTAGCTGGGCTGAAATTGAATGATCGATTAGTACTCAGAAGAATCATCATAGCATATACACAAAATAGAGAATAAAATTTTAATGGTATCAAAAACAGAACTTTTTGGCTAATTTAGTACTTGCTGGAATAAAGTTGCAAAATGTTACTCAGTAACTGACTTAGCTTCTAAATCAAGCCAGAATTACACATACTCTGTATATTACTTGAGTATATACAAATACATTCCATGATATAACATGCAGAAACTGGAAACAAGATACTGTAAAATCAAAATCACCATCTCTATTGATGAAATAATAAATTGAAAACAAAATACCTGTCCAGTAATCCAGACTATCTCATTTTGAAAAAGGGGTTTTGAGTGTTGCTATTTTCAAGAATTCAAATAAATTCCACATGGTTAAATTTGATTTTGTTTTCTCAATATGAAAAAACAGAAGCAGATATATTCCAACAGCTATGGGAATATATTTCTTTTTACTCAGTATCAAATTAAGAGGTTTGATAACTTTTACTCTTCTCAGGTCAAAAGCTCTCTTCACATTTTAGAGGTTAAGAATGAATCCCTTAAAGCTTAGGGATTAGTGTCATAGCATCTAGCAACATATGTTCATGTACTTTTAGTGATACATGAGTTCAAACATGAGTCATATGAAACATGAGCTTAATTTTCCTGAGAACTAAATTAAACCTACAAAATAAACAGGGTATGAAAATGACCTGAGTACACAGGAATCTCTAAATTTGAAAGGTTGTTTCAGTTTTGCTAAGATCACATCAAAGTCTTTTATAGCAAGGGTTTCTTAGTTACATATTTGGTCACAGAGCCTAGGGATCTTTTTAAACACTAAAATGAAGTGATTTATGTTGTGCAAATTCACTGAAAGGTCAAAAAACAAGAGGACAGATGGTGCTGAGTAAAAGCTACAAATTACGTCACAGCTTCTACTACCTTATAAAGAAAGGAGTAGGTTAGATGTGCAACTGACCAACTCTGCTACCAGTTGACAAATTACTGGGAGGCGAAGAGAATCCTCGCAACATAAACTAAGACAGCACCTTAAGTGGAACCTAGTGGAAGCCACTCTGAAGTGAGTGAGGATTGGTTGTGGCAGAGATGGCTACTCATTCCCTCTAAGTAATTCTTCCTCAAGTATGTGAGAACCCAAGAATGTATAAGCAGGATAAAATATTGGCTTCAAAATCATTTCTCCAAATTATGAATTGCAATTTATGTTGTTACTATTTGCAAACTAAGAGGTCCTATGAATTATTAGTCACTGTATGGCATATAAAAGAACACAGTCTGGCTTCAATCTAAGCTCTTCTGGTTTTCTCCATAACTAATTTGAGGCACTTTAAATGTTTTGGTGCCTTAATAAATTAACATGTAACATGAGAGAACACTCATTTAAGTTACCTCAAGGAGCTACTACATAGATTATTGAATCTTAAAGAACTTTGAGCTCCTCAGATGAAAAGCACTGTGTCAATAATTACAGCTGACGAAAACTCTTTGAATGCCGCAGAATGCTGATCTATTGTGCCTTATGTCTCAATCATGTTTTCTTAAATACTTTAAAAGTAAAATTTGTCAGTGGCACGCCACATCAATATATACATCAATTTTTTGGCACATTGATGTTTATATCTGTAAAGTAGCTGTCATACTAACTTTCCATCAAAGTTAACAAGATGTACCCATTATGCAGTACTTTCAGTCAAGTTTAGAAAACTTTAGCGTTCTCTTAGGTACATGTGACATAATAAAATAAAAAAAAAATAACTGAACTAGTGTTATCTGTGTGAAACCATAAATTTTTAATGGAAAAAAATACTGAAAGTAAGCCACAGTGTCTATATATTCATCTGAAGAGTACAAAGATGGATTTCTGGGAAAAAAACACTAGAGAAAATAAATGTGGTTCTTAAATTGTTCAAAGAAAAATATTTTAAAGAATGTAATATTTCACACATTGAAATAAAGTAATTAGAGGAAATAAATTAAAAATAGTTCAAATATTTTTGTTTTAGCATTAGTTTTCTAAACAAGTTAATTTCAACACACTTTAAATCTTTTATGCTCTTCTTTCAAAGAACTGTGGAAATGGAATCTTTCATAGACATCATGATGATACCACCTTAGGAATTTTACACAGGGATATGCTGGATATCCTGACCATTTTAGAGTTATAACATATTTGTTTACTACATTAGATTCAGCCCAATAATATACCTTTATATTTGGGAGAAATTAGATTGTGATTTATAACCTGACATTTATCCAAACCTTCCTCAATTCCAGGTCATGCTTGATTCTCTGCAGGGAGTTCTGTCAGATTCATAATCAAAATGATGAAAATTGAAAATAACTTCTTTTGGACTGAGAAATGTTTTTTCTTTTTTAAATAAAGTGCTTTAAAATTATTTTCTGCCCTAAACAAAACTGAAACATACTTAAACCTGAAATCTCCATATCTTGACACTCATATTTTAACAGGAAAAAAATCAGTTTTGGGCCAACAATGTCCTTCAAGAGTTCAGATTGGATCTAAATTGGCCTTTGCATTATCATCGTGCTCATGTTTGTACATAAAGGTTAAGAGAAAGAGGGCAACATCCAAAGATGACCAATAGGCAGTATGCGATGTGACAGCGGACCAATAGCGGCTCTCCACAAGGCCTTCTCTGAGTTCAAAATCAATTCTGTGATCCAATTCCACTGCAAAGAAAAGAAGTCAAACAAACGAATAAAGATTACAATATGGTATGTACTATATAGATTTACTAGAGTTGAGAATAAAAATTGAATTAACTGTGATTCAAATTACCTTTTTTTAAAGTAACTTTCACTCTAATCTCAAAACAAACAAACAAAAAACCCTCAAAAGAGCCTCAGTAGCTCACGATTCTATTTGGTGGAATCCTTTTCTTTGCACACTCAAGTCAATATGGAGTAATAAGGAAAACAAACAAAAAAACTCCTTGGTATCATGGAGTGTAAAGTAGTCCTTCCTTATCCACAAGACAAACAATCTAAGACCCACAGTGGATGCCTGAAACCATGGTGAACACAAACCATGTACATACTATGTTTTTCCCATATGTATATAAAATTTAATTTATAAATTAGGCAAAGCAAGAGATTAACAAAACAGATTATAACAATATACCGTCATAAAATGTGACTGGTCTTCTCAAAATATCTCATTGTATGCAATAGGTTTTCAGACTGCAGGTAACAAACTATGCAGAACAGTAGGTAAGGGGGACTACTATATTTGAAGTAAAGAAACTGGGCTCAAATTCTGGCTTTCCCATTTAATCTGCATGCGTAATTTGTAAAATAAGAAATACAGCCCACTTGCAGAATTATGGACCAAGTTTACAAGCAGCAATGCCTGAGGGAGTGCAACAGGTCACACAACAGGTCATACGCCTCCTTCACTGGGAGGTGGCCCTTCATATCAACCGGCTCTGTGGCGTTATGGGTAAGAAAACCATCTGTTTACAGCCCTAAAATGTTTTCTTTCCTACTGGCTGAATTCTTTAGAGGCCACCACAACACACCCTAATCTCCATATGGTCTCCAAATGCATCTATGACATACACGTGCTCATTAAATTTGTGTGCAATGAAGAATCCACTGGGTGACTGGGAAAATTAAACTGGGAGGAACAGGAGTGATGCTTGGGAGGAAAGGCTTCACTTATAACAGTGATGTCCTCAAACAATGCAATGAATACACCCACAAAGAGTCCCTGCAATACCTGTTAGAAAATAAAAAATCACCTTATCAAGTCAAGGCTGTAAGAGAATTGTAAGGAGTCATTTAATAAATCCTTAGAGAAATATTTTGGCCTTCAGAAACTCTTATAACTGTCAGTGAGTCACACAGTATTTTGAATAGTCTATTTTAAAAGCAAGACAAAACACCTAAATCACTATCACCCAGACACTCAAAAATCCATTCTTTGTTCAGAGTGCCAGAGGTGGTTACAAGTAAAAACTGGTGAAAGTTGAGGTTATAGAAAAAGCAAGGCTGTTTTACACTGGGAATAATCACACTTAGGAAATCTTATTCTTGTGAATAACTTCATATATATATATATATATATATATATATATATATATACACACACACACACGTATAGCTAGTGCTTATTTTAAACAGTTATTTTGTGACAATGCCATTTTGTGACTTAAAAATGCTTACACGGTAATATTTTTTCCTATTCCATTGTGCTTTTGTGACAGAAATGACCATGGATCTAGCTGTACATTTTCAGATCAGGTTTACACTTAAGTAATCCATACCAATTAGACCATGAAACACTTGATTTTTAACTGCTATTCTCATTTAAATTATGATAAACTAATATGTCCTAATTTTTTTATCTTTTGTATTCCCTGGGACATTTGTGTTAAGTCTGTTGTCTGTTAATTCTGCCACAACAGACAAGAGGATGAAAAAAGAGGAAACTGGAATTCTTAAGCATGATGAAGACAAGTCAAGTTGAAGTTAGTTATAAAGGAGGAATAAGAGAAAACAGAAGAGTTGGGAAACACATGCATTGATACTGGTAAAGACCACAAAGATACAGAATTTTTAAGAATTCTCTTTCAAATGCCATTATACAATGTCTTCCTAGTCCAAGAGTCTAGTTAAACTGTTGTTTCAAAGTCAAAGGAAGAACTTTCCTGTTAAAACAGGTATTAATTGGCTTTACTTTTATGTCCCTGAAATTTATTAACATGCTATTACTGTTGTATAATACTGCCCTTCATATATTGGACACCCAGATGCTAAAAGTTTAATGTCCTTTTAAATGTCCTTGTCATTCTTATCACTTTAGTGTCCTTAACTAGATTGGCCCTCCCAGTCCCTTACTACTTATCTGTAGGTTGTCCTTATCAAAATGGGAATTTAGGTAGCCAGCTTATATCTGGTCAACCCATTCTGGCCTCCCATCCTCCTTAAAAGGTTTACCCCATGCAGTCTGGTTGCCAGTGCAGTTGGCTTCATGTGTTGGTTTTCAGGTGGATGAATGGAATTCAGTGGGCCTAAGACTCATCCCTTTCCCTTTTATATAGATCACAGCTTCTACATGGCACCATTCTTTTCTATGCTGTGAGGTCTGCTCTCAGCCAAAGAAGATTCAAATCTACATGGGACTATGTCAGACCTTATTAACATATCAAGAATGGAAGGCCCCACACAGTTTAGTTTTTTTCCTAGTTTCTTTGAGTTAGGTCAAAGAAAAAGGAGAACATAAAATCATCATTTTGTTTTTCTCTCTCAAGTACCTAAGTGCTAGAATCCCTCTGTTCACAAATAAAAGAATGAGATCCCCAAATAGTTGAAATGAGGAAAAGACTATTGGTTTTTACCAATCTTCAGCAGTTTGCTTATACTGTGTTAAAACATAATTTTCTTTTGCTGTGGAGTCATGCATATAGGCATATTTCCCTCCATTCCCCAAGTCAGTACCTACAATCTACTTAGCGCGAGGAAGTACTGTTAGTATTGTGCTTTCATCAGAGAATTCTTTGTGCACAAGGCTTGCAATATGGGAAAAAAAAAAACATGTAAATAGGAAGTAAGCGTTTTACTATAATAATGTGTACTAATTAAACAGGGCTTGCTTATTTAAATGGATGTATCATAACTTGCCTGGAGAGAGATTTTGAAAAACTCAGTGACGCTTAAAAGTTATCTGATTTGCCATATGTGGAATATAACAAAACAAAGGGTCAGACGAAACTAAACCAAATCAAACCCTAGAAATCTGACTGCAGAAAGGATGCTATCAAAGGGGTAGGGTGGGGAACAAAACAGGAGAGGGTCCAATGGACTGTGGTTGAGGTTGAGGATTACTTGTGCTTTGGTGGTGTGGTAAAATACATCTGAGGGGTGTAACCCAAGAGTCTTAAATCATTTGTAGTGCTGTGAGCGAATAGTATCTCAATTAAAAAAATACAATTAAAATTATCTTATTTGCAAATAATTATTATGGTCATAACTGCATAATTTTGGGCCCCAGGAAAACATCAAGAAAAATATTTAAACTACTAGTAAAGGAAACTCTGTTGTAAGATTCATTAGCAATAAGACTATGTCCAGAGTTCTTGTTAGCAAGTCAATCTTATTTTTATGCTGCTATTATACACTTCATGTGATTAGTTGTTTGACAGTCAAGGATTATTTACATTTTGTGAAAATTATCTCAGTTCCAAATATATTTAAGAATATTCTCCAACCATCCTTTATCTAAAAAATAATCAACATAAACTCTAAAATGAGTTTTATAATTGTCATATTCACCAACTTTTTTTCCAACACAAATCTATCCTGAAAGACAATCATAAACCTAACATTTAACAACAGATGGGCAACGTGGGCAAATAAAGTTTCTATGGGTAAATCTTGAATATAAAAAAATTTCAGGAGATTGAACCATCTCAATCTTTTCTAGACACATTTAGGAAGCTTCCCTTTCTACTACTCCTTGGGTCTTCTCAAGAAAACTAACTTTTGTTTCTCTGTAAGTCCTGTGTTTCCATGTTTTTGCTTATGCTGTTTCTTCTCTCTACAATCTATCTTTATCTCTGTCCAAATCCTACTTCCACCAAGTCTTTTATGATTTCCCCTGTGAAAACATTTCTTAGTCCTTAGAACTGATAGAATTCTTTATATGTAACTCTATGTGGCTTATCATACATAGTCTATCACTTATTTGAGTTATCTACTTTTCTTACTACAACTTTATTCTCTACGAAAGACTGAATTTCCAAAATAGCATTTAATGTATTTACAGTAAGCACTGAAGTTTGTTTTATCTTGCTATTTTTTCTAATGCCTATCATTGCATCTTGGTTCATGCTAAACATTTATTAAATTATTGCTGAATGGCTAAAAATAGGGAAGGAGAAAATGGAAGTCACATACATGTCACTATCTGTATCAGATGGCTAGAGTTAGAATTAGTGGTCAAACTGCTTAGAAAGTTGGGGTGGTTTTAAGACAGTGGGTATAAGGCCTACTTGATTATAGGACATGTGGATGAATGGCTTCATTTTCAAAAACTCAAAAAGCACAAATCAAATTATTTCTTAATGAAAGTGACTTACATGGGTAAGGACCAGAGAAAGCACTTATGTAAGATAATTTCTTGAGAATTTCACTGAGTTAAATCAACCAAACTATTGCTAAAAAACAATAAAACAAGCCAGTTTGTTTTGGTTTGGAATTTGTATCAAGAAATTTTTTGGAAATGAAAAAAAGCATGAAAATTAGCAATTAAATAAAGAACTTGAAAAATCAGACAGGGTTAAAAAAAAATCCAAAGAAAAACCTGCAGCATATTTTTTGTTAAAGTCTAATATTAAAAGAAAGGGGGGGGGGAAGTAGTTGTAGGAAAAGGAATGAGAAATTGGTGGTAAAAACAATTTTAAGCTGCTAAGATTAATCTTTAGTGAAATCTTATAAACTGCTGAAAATTGAGATTGAAAATATCTCTTATATTTGTTACTAATTTTTAAAAAGTGAACCTGTACCTCCAAAGAATATTAAGTATTTGTGTTGAAACCAGATATCAGTCATGCCATAACTATAAGCCCTAAGTGATTATGTTATTGACATTTGAAATAACTATGAATGATTAAATTCTTTACACCTTGAAATATCTACCTGTAATATTTTTGTATCTACCTCTATTACATGGAAAGAATAGTAAACCTCTTCTGAATCCTTTAGGACAACAGAGAAGGAAATGGCCTAATGCTTTTCTCCCCTCTCTATAAGAATCTTTCTTTGTGGGGGTGTACAGGAATATCCTAGATCTCACATTAAGTAGCTAATCAATACTAGTGTTTCAGGACCACTACCACTTAAGATTAAAAAATACAGGAAGAAATACATATACAATAGTCTATAATGGTAACATTCAAGCTGATCTAATAAAATTGATCCAATTTTTCAGTGAGCAAAAGAACTCTGAGTAGGTCATTTTCATAGTATTCTGAATGCTATTCCTGACATATACCATACCGAGGGCATTATCTTTATTCTGCATTACATTTCCCGGAAAAAGAAGTTGTGGGAGATTAAATAACGATTCCTGAAGTCTGAAATCTGTGAAAAGAAAACATAAGATGCTGTAAAGTGTTGGCTGATGGCTACAAATGGCTTTCACTGATGCAGTGGCCAAAAGTTAGAACAATCCTCCCAAATAAGCTGATTAAACTAGCATACATAAAGAAGTATACACTGTGGTTTTTGTGAAGAGCATTTTCATAGAAAATGTAAACATAATTAACTTTGAAATATCATGTCATAATCTGTTAACACTCAGATATCCCCAAGATTTATAGTTCATGTACAGGCTAATAATTTAGAGGCAAAACAATGCTAAAAGAAATAGATCTTTGCATAACTATTACAAACACAGGAGTGTGCAAGAAATGAAATAATATACCACTGGAAAAAAAGCCTAGATTTTCAAAAGTGATAAAGAATAGCTATATAAGATGCTCTAACTTGATGACAATAACATGGTTTCAAAGTTGAAGTTACTCTTCAAAGCAACCCTGTATCAATCATGAACTCAAAGTCCACATCCCCTAACCCTCAAAGAACAAGAGAGTCAAAGTCAGTAGCTTCTGAATTAAAGGTTATTGAGAACTCAGGCAATCAATGTGAGCAGAAAGAGGAAAGGAGGAAAGGAAAGAAGCCAGAATCACACCAAATCACAAAGACCAAATTGTAGAAAGACTGAAGGAAGAAAGGTTTCATGAATTTATAAGATATAGCCCAAACAGCAATTAGACATAAGATACTGTCTAAATCAGGTTAACATTGAAGAGGATATTAAGTCCAAGAATTAGTAGAGCAAAGCTTGGGAATTTGATTTGAAACGCAGAATCCTACTGTAGCAATGTCCAGTTTTTATAGTTACATCTAAGTTTAGAGAAGAATATATGTAACTAAGACTAACGATTAGCTCATGCTTAGTTGAATCTGTAATTGACAAGGAATTTACTATTAGGACAATTAAAGAATTTATATGCAAGCATGATAAAATGTATTTTGTTAAACTAGCACAATATAATAATCTAATACAGCTCATCACCTTACTGACTGTTGTCCTAAAAAAAGAAATCAGAGGATTTTCATATGAATTTGAAATCAGTATAATAAATATAAAAAAACTAAAAAATACTTTTCTTGCCTCAGATTCTATAGATCCTTTACAGATGTCTTTATTATCCTTTCTCTGGGGCTCAAATCCTACCCTATTCTTATTCCTTCATTCACCCTAATGTTTCCTATTATCACTGTTGTGTATTATTACATGGAATTGTGACTTTTACTTGCTATCTTAACAAAATTCTTTGAAATTGATTTTCCTCAGAAATTTAGAGTTCTTTTGATATCTGCATGTCACAACAGAATTTTTTATTTTCACAACAGCATTTCTGATATTAAATAGAAATGAGAACCTAAGTCATCAACAGTATAGGTATTCATAAGAAAATTAATGTATGAATTTTGTAAAAGTATCAAAGTCAAGAAAGAAATTTTTAGGCAAGAACTTTCAAATGTATGCAATTATGAAATTCTCAATGCTCAGAGTCTGACAGAGATAAGATAAAATTAAAAAATGCTATTGGCCCAATTTGAAATGTCTGGGACATCTCATCCTGGAGTACAGCTGACTGTGGAAAAAGATCTAGTCTCTAGGATGGTTACATCTGAACTTCCATTTTAAGTGAATTTTATAGATGGCAATGGATGCTGGTCATTTTAAAATTTAGAGTAATAGAAAATAAGGCTACAGAGTATGTGAAATGAAATCTGCTTAAAAATTTTTAGAGAAATAAAGTTAAAATTTTCCTCTTCCTTTATAGTCACAGAAAAGCAGCAGCTAGCTTAGAATGTACATTTCCTTATAATGTCAAAGGAAAAATAGGAGTTGACTTATTTGTTTTCTTTTATTATATACTTAAATATTAAGGTTCAAGTTTAGAACTCTAGAAATATATACTTAAGGATATATTTATAGTGTTTCACAAATATTAGAGATTTTAAACCTTATAAATTTATTGGAAAAAATTAATGTTCCACGCTAGTACAAAGTCCAGCATAACTAAACACTTATTCACTCATTTCTTGAGTACCTACTTTATTTGAAGTTAGCTAGGATAATGCTGGAAACCACATAGAAGATCCAACAGAATTTAAATTTTGAAGGTAATTAGGGGGCAGTATGGCCTTGGCTGAGCAATTAAAAAAAAAAAATCAATACTAGATAGCATAGGTTTGACACATTTACATGAATTTGTTTATGGTTGAGAGGACTACATATAAAAAAACCCTACAAAAAATCGTTATTTACCCCCAAGGAGATCTGTTTTATGCTTGATGGTTAAGAACCCTATGCTAAATGGCCCTGGTTATTAATACCCTTAATTATTAACTCACCAGTGCAGAGTAACTGCATTTACCTGGGGATTATCTTAAAAATGTAAGCAGAGGAACAGTGTTAATATCTTAATCTGCTCTCTCCTCAAGTTTAGAAATACACAGTATAAAGTTAAGGAACAAACTGTATGAACTAACATGCAGAATCAAGAAAGCCAGAAGTGCTATGTGGAAGAGTCTGTGTTGCCACAGTGGTAGTAGGAGGCGAGGGAACTGGCTTCTTCTCTTCTTCTATAGTGTCTTTTGATGTCTCCGATGGCTGTGGAGCAGATGAACGTCCAAATCTTGAGAACAGCATTCCTCCAAGTCCCTTTCCAATGCTAGCAGCCCCTGCATTTCACAAAACAAGAAGGTCATTGAATTACACTATATTCCAAGCTAAAAATCAACACCCATAATTATAGTCAGTTGGCAGTAGAAGGAACAAGACCTAGTCATATGTTTCCAGGTTGGGAATACAAGAAAAATCAAAATCTGTATTATAGGTTTCTAAATAAAAATAGAGCTGAATAGACTTAAAGTTGTATAAACTATACAAATACAAGTCAGAAATGAAGGAATAAAGATTCTATTTTATTCAAGTACTTTTATTCAAGGTATCTGGTAATATGGAAAAAAAATCTAATAAATTTTTTATTAAAATTATGGGCATAAATTTACTATTGAAATACTTACTACTGAGGTGCTTATGTTATAAAAATGCTCTCAGTAAACAATCTGCAAGTATGACTAAATGAAATATAGATGAGTTCTGCAGACAAAGCCTATTATAGTGCCACCTTGTGGCATATTTATATTAAGGCAACTTATAACCCAAAACAATGCACAAATTCAAGTGGCAAATAATTTGAGATCCAGTGCTTTACCAAACATAGTGACTGGTACTTTATGTAGAGCATTCAAAGAGAAATTAAATATTCTGTTTTTCTCAGGAAGGAGACCATTTGAAAGACTCAACATATAGATCAGAGAATGGGTTGGCGGGGGTACCTGTACAACTTAAGTATGGCCTCATTTCACAGATGAGGATGCACAATATTAGAAACTACATGACCTACCTAAGATCGCATAGTGAGAGGTAGGGCTAAGATTAAAATGAAGGAATTGAATCCCAGACCTCCTCTTGTCTATCCAGCTAGCTTATGCTCTGAACCAATAGAATCTGCTAATTAGAGTACTTCAGACCTTTTAGTTCTCAAATATGAACAATGAGAGAGTTAATGGGGATTAACTGTTGGACATTTTATAATACACAGAGTATTTCAATGGAGCCCAAATTTAATACCTAGGGAAAAGTGCTTAGATTCGCTGATAAGGATTACTTAAGAGAATTTACCTAGTATGCTTGCTTTGCCTATATTTGTTATAGATTCCCCATAGTGTCGGCGGGATAAAACTGGTGAGGTCACAGGGCTTGGTATTGTTGAAATGCCTTCATTCTCTGAAATTGAGGTAGGTTCTTTTGCTGGATGGAGAAAGCTTGGCTTCATATGCTCATAAGGTAGAGGATTTGAAGTATTATACCAGTGGATCTGAACAGGTGAAATGTTGCTGTAGTGTTTCAGTATCAATGGTTCTAATCTATAAGCCTTGACAAAAAAAATTCAAAGAAACGTATCATTAGGATACAACGTTAGGAATTCTTATTCTGTCGTATGCTCAGTAGAGCTTAGAGAGAAGAATTTTAAAAAAACTGGTATTTCTAACATGTATTCCCATTTGTTGACTTAATAATATGTAATTGGTCTATATATCCTTAGAGATGAAATTATAAGCAAGAAGAGTTAGTCTAGGCTAACAGTGTCCATTAATTAGTTTTTCTGAGAAACATTCATTTTTATTATGTTCTGATATCATTTAACAATTTTAAAGATTTTTATTTTTTTATGCATATAAGAACTGGGGTGTAGGCCAGAGGTGTGGGGTGAGGGTGATGGGGAGAGGATTCACCAGGGACAGAGTGCAGAGCAGAACTGGCGGATCTACTATAATACCCTGCTGAGGGGAGCAGCGGGCAAGACAGGAGAGGCCTGCTGTGCCATGTGGGCTAGCTCCCTGGCGGGGATTGAACTCATGCCACAGTGGCTGGAAATAGCTGGATAACGCTGAGACTTCAACCCCTACGCCACCAGGGAGGCCCTCATTTAACAATTTTATATTAGTCTCACAGACAAAACTGAAAGCAGTATGATATAAACAGTGTTTGTTCTGGAACTACAGAATCTGATCTAACTAGAGAACTTTGGGGTCTTCTGGCCCTCAAATAAGAACAGTAAAAGAGCATTAATGGGGCCATTTTTAATATCTTAGAAGCTGTTACCAACTCTTTTCAAACAGATTAATATTGTGATAGCACAAGTTAGATGCTGATATAACACCATTTCTCTATGTGAAGTAAGAATGATGGAAGAGAAAACCAGTGGACTTGTAGTCAGAATTTCCTGAGTTTGTATTGTGGTCTCTGTCACTTATTAACTGAATGATACTTATCAAGTCACAAGGTCTAAGAGCCTCAGTTTCTTGAGCTGTATAAAAGTAGATTCACTTCCTACTTCACAAAGATGTTGGAAAGAACAGATAACATTTGTAAAAACCACCTAGGCACAGTTCTATAACAAGATCATACAAAAGACAGGGTATACACTGAAAGCTCAGAGTTCAGCTATAAACTCGAATTCACATTCAAGTTGTAAGAAACAGGTAAAATGAATGTACATTAATGAAATACTTAAAATCTAAACAGGGACTTACATATATTTTAGTTAATCCTAACCCTATGAAATAAGGTATTACCAGGTAAACCATAAAACTGCTATTTTTAAGAAAAAAATTTCACTGAATTGGAATCTAATATTAGATTCAAATACAAACTACACAGTCTTGGTCTTCACTTCTGAGACTATTTAGCTATTTAACATATAGAAAATTTTCTAGAATTCTGGTATTTAGCATATTTATTTGGTACAAACTAAAGTTTTTTGACAAGATTTTACACAATTATAAAATTCTATTTTTCAGAGAATGCTATTTTTCAGAGAATTAGTTATATCTAGCCTTGTGCCCAAAAGGAGTTAAAGTATTTTTTCTCATCTAAAAGTATTACATGGCATTAAACTGTTCACCGAACAAGATCCTTGCAAAGTTTACACTGAAAAAAACTTAAAGTACAAAAATAATAGAGAATATAAAAATCCAAAATTTCATAATTCTACCAGCTAAAATAAACGGGTCTGCTTTTTCATATTTAATATACTTATACATTATATACATACCATTATGTATAACTAATATATTTAAATATTTTTATTTCTAAGAGGATCTACCAAACATTTTAATATTGTAGCAGGTTTTAGAGAAAAAAAAAGTATTTAAAGTGGGATTTTCAAAATTTATGGTTACTAGGTCACAGTACTACAACTGGTTAAGGTTCAGAAGTCCAACGATTCCAGTCACTCATATTAAGTGTCCATGCAATTTTTTTTACATTACCACCTAAACAGGTCATCTCTAAAGTATTTTATTTCTCAATCTCTAAATTAACCAAAGCACAAATGTTTTAAAAATTAGTTTCTCATTAGTTCAGATTATCTGAATTATCTCACAAGAGTTCTTATAGATTCTCTTAGGAATAATTTGTTATTGATAAAAAAGTGTCTATATTAGTATCTCACCACTGGATCTGTTGGATGAAAAATATTTAGTAACCGGTTACAAATCTGTCTAGGCAAAATATGGTCTTGACTTCCAGAGTTTCCTGGGCGGATACCACGCAATGCCAAAAAAACTGCTAGTGGGGATCCCATGCAGAAGAAATTCTCCACCTAAAATGATAAAGTCATCCAAAATTTAAAAAACGGTGATGTGTTTTAGGTATATAACATATAAAGAAATGCAACTAATAAAAGTAACTCCAAATATATTTGTCTTTTTAAATGAGTTTGTCCAGGTGGTATTTGCATTATTGGTTAACCATTAATTATTCTAAACAATATTTTTAGGAGCAACTTTATTATCTTTAAGTCTAACAAAACAGAGAATGAGGATAGGACAAGGAAGATCACTTCATTGTGTTTCTAATATGCTAATATGCTAATCAAATAGTTATTAAACTATTATTCTGTGTGAAGTAATGCACTAGGTGCTATGAAAGACATAAAAACCAATAAGGCAGAGTCTCTGCACTCAGAGTTTGGGGAAGGCAGAATAAAATAAGTGCTCAATAGGGGGAAGGAAATGTTAGAGTAGAAGAGAGAATGATTAATTTTAATTCTGAGGATTTACAAACAAGGTAGCATTTGGCATTGACCATAAAAGATGAACAGGATCTCCATAGTTGGTTTGGGATGATGGTGCTAGAAATAATGTTCTAGACTGACAGAACCAGATAAACCAGATAAACACATTATAAAAGTATTAATAAGTGTTTATGGAAAAGATCATCTGAACTTGGGCAGGACAAGCTGTTCCATTCAGAAAAAGAAATGTGAGAAGACTTGGGTCTGAATGACTGGGAGGATAATGGTTCCATTAACTGTAACAGAAAACTCTATGCAAATCCTGTTTTTGTCCATAAGTTTGAAGTACCTGTTACATCTCTAATATGTAGCTGAAAATTCAGGATAAGAGGAAAAGAACTGAACATGTTATCATTCAAGTCTATGAGTCACTGTCAGAGAAGTGACGTGTAAAAACAAGAAAATAGGTGAGATTGCCTGGGAAGTGCATAGAGTAAGAGAAGGGCTTTAGTTAGGAAAGCCTACATTAGAATAGCAGGTGAAATTACAAAAGGATGAATGAAAGGAGAAGAGAACCAAGATAACGCAGAATCATGGAAATGAAGGGAGGAGAAGGCATCAAGAAAAATAAGGTGGTTAAAGGCACTGGATTACACACAGAACATAATAATTTTTCTTTCTAAATCCACCTGACCTCTCATATGTTCCAGTATCTTGATGAGCGAGCCCAAATTCATCCTTCCTTCTATCACCAATATCTGTCAGTCATTCCAACAGACTCTTATTCTAACATTTTATCTCATTTCCTCTTCTTTGGGTTATACTGTAACAGTGCACCTGCCTGCAGTTTTGTACACCTTTAATTCCTTCCCTATAATGTCCCCAGATGGAGTAATTTTACTTTCTTCAAATGAAAAAAATATACAAATATATATATATATGATAAAATGGTATATTTTGTTAAAAGAATGTTTAGAAAGGTTTTGTTTTCCAAGGATTGGCTAACTTAGACATGACTGAAGATCAAAGAAAGTTAACTTGTTTAAGAAAAATAAAAAAATTAGAAACAATATTTGAAATAATAGGGATATAAGAAAACACTGATTTCTGAAAGGAATATGATCATTTCTTTTTCTATAAAGTGAGGAAAGAATAAAGGACAACAAATGATAAAGAAAGGTATAAAAATTGTTGGGACAGAAAAGAAAGCTATATAAACCTTATTTATAAAGCTTCCCACTATCCAGATAAAAAACAAGTTCTTATGTCTAGTTTTTCCTATTCTCCCACTGTATGCCCTCCTGTATATTCCAGTCATTCTGGTTTGCTCACCTTTCTCCAAACCCACACCCTGTCTTGTGCTTTTGTTGTACATTTTTCTTTGAAATGCCATAGCTGGAATCATCACTGATACACTTCCATTTATTTTTCTTACCAACCACAATTAGTTAAGTCACTAGGTTTGTTAATTCTAAATACTAAAAATTCCCAAATTTGCCTCATTTTTCTTTCCCATTACTCAAGATAATTTGGTGTTTCTTGGAAGTATGATAAAGTTATATCCTTCCATGTCTTTGTTTATGCTGTGTCTTTTATATAGCATAGGATTTCTCTTCTCCTTCACTGGGCAATATCCAATTTGCTCAGATCAAATAAAACTGTCATTCCTTTGTAAACCTTTCAGGGAAAATTATAACCTCTTCTTATAATATATATCTTACATACATCATTCTGTATGCTGCTATTAAAATCATAACACTATGCTATATCTATCTTGAGAGCTGGGGAAACATCTCGTCCATTCATTTCTTTGCAGAATCCAGAAACTAGCAGTGTCTAACACTTATAGTATGTGTTCAGTAAATATGTATTTGAAAAAATAACTAAGATTTCATCTGAATTCTAATAGCATGCTTCAAATGATGCTTGAAAAAAATACTGAGGCATAATGAAAGTCTCACCAATCTTTCCTTACCTTAAATTTTAAGGCAGGTGTTTGTGACATAGATGAAGCCTTTAATCCATGTAGCCGTTCTTCTATTTCTTTCAGCCTAAGAAGGAACATGGGGTTATATACATACACATTCATATTTATAATTTCAAATATTTTCGCTCTTCAATAATTCACTGAAGTATAAAGAAAAAAAAATAATGGCCCATTATCCAAGTCCTCAAATTAATTCCTATAGTATTTAATAAATTTACTGTCAGCATTATAGAAAGTCTACTAAAGCTTCTAAGATGATTAGGAAAATCATAATACCTATTGTTAATAGCTTTTTGGAGGGGTTATACAAGCATTTACATACACCTTTAAAAAAAAAATCACACCAAATGTTCACATCATATTCTGTTCCATGTTGTTTTTTCTACACTTAATAAATGACTTAGACATCTTTTCATTTCATTGACTTCTAACCTATTCAATCCTTGTAACATCTGTGTAACTGTCCATTATATGGATGAACCAGTTTATTTAACCCTTTCCTGCTGATGATCATCTGGGTTCTTTCAATATTTTCCCATTACAATGTTCTATACTTACTTACATTTAATAAACATTGAAACTAAGTTTTAAAAAAAAAGGTGCAGTTAATAAAATTTTTTAAACAGATTTTATATCTAAAATGCTGCTTTGAGGCTTGCCAAGCATGACATATTCTTTAAATAAAACTATAAATTATTTTGACACTATAAAATGTACATATCTATCGTAATTAGTAAGATTCTAAATGAAATCCTTATGCAACTTTCATAAAACTAAAACAAATACAAGACTTCCTAAGTAAAAATTTTAGTCAACTAGATTGTTTTTTTTTTTTATATTGGTAGCAAATGATGAATGATGTTTCACTGTTCGATTAGAATCAATTGGATGATAATTAAAAGCACAAAAAATATTGAGCTGATAATGCTATGTAGAAGGGACTGCAGTAAAAATTAAAAGATAGGGCTGGAAGGCCACAAATGATCAAATAATTATAAAATATCAAAAATGTATCTGCCAAGAAAAAAGGGGTTTAAACTTATTTTTAGAATAAGAGAGGTAAAGGCACACCCTTATACACCTGTAAAACTACAAAGGGACTATAGACTAGTAAACATTTTCAATAAGGATTCTACATAGTGATTTAGCTTCAAATAAGTTTTAGACTTTAATTCTAAAACTGTGGAGGACAAAAAAGAGGAAAAAGTAAGTTGACGAAACTATTTTGTGCTATAGGAAAAAATAGGTAGTTAGCATGAAAATTAATACAGGCTCTCACAGACAAGTTATCTAGTAATTTTTGTTTCCAAAACAATGTACTTTTTTCTTTATCATGAAACTCTTAAATTTTCTAACACATTTAATAACTCTATGAAGAAATTTTTAATTCTCTTAAGCGACTAGGGTACTGTACCGTCGTTTCGTTATATAGAGTTCATCAAGAAGATGTCTTTCTTCATAGCTCATCCATCGTTCATCAGGCAATTCTTCTTCCTTCTGCAGTAACTGTTCATAGAGTCGAACTGGATTCCAGCCAGTCATTATATCATAAGTAATTACACATCCCAAGGAATGTGACACTATTGACACTTTACCCCCCTTTTCCTCAAAGTCTGGATTCCGAGAACAGAAAAGGGAATATAATCGATTCAGCTCTTGCTGAAGGCCTTTAACTAGCTGTTTGAAATAAAAAAAAGCATTATCATATTAATCACTGACTACTATAAACTTTATTTCCAAACTCAAATACATTAAGGAAAAAAAACCTCATTACTAGCCAAATATAAATGTTACTAAAATTAACTCAGGTGCTTCACAACCTTGCAGGTGCTTCACAACCTTGCAGGAAATGAAGTATACACATTATTATAATCCTTATCATTAAAGAATAAAGGCAGATATTATCAATACAGATCCTTAAACCAACTCTATAGTCCTTAAACCAACTATCAATATATGATCTAGCAGTTCCATGTATTTAAAATTTTATACAGTCTCCAAGAAGATTGCTAAAGAGCTGCTGGGAATTTACATTTCTTTCTTTCTTTTTTTTTTAATACAAGCACTGGGTACAGTCAGAAGTGCCAGAGGGTGAGAGAAATTCACCAGAGCCAGAGCGAGGAACACAACAGGCAAACTGACCAAATACACTGCTGAGGGAGCAGCAGGAGCAGCAAGAGGTCTGCGAGCCATGGATCTAACCGGCACTGCAGAGGCTGTGGGCAGCTTCGCAGCCCAGTGCTCAACTGCTGCTCGCCACTGGGGAGGCCTGGAATTTACATTTCTAATTAATTCCCAGAAAATGCTGCTGCTGCTACTTAGAGACCACGTTTTAGGAACTAGCACTCTATGGTAAATGCATATGAAAACCTAAGACATGGAGGTAAGTAATTTTAGTCAATATAGTTTAAGGAATATGGAGTGTGATATGAAATTACATGGCTATGTGGAACTTGGATTTGATAAGAATATTAACTAATCTTTAAAATTTTATGATTTTCCTGATTTGCAAATTTTATGAAGGGAGGTATAAAAAAGCTAATGTTTAGATGAAATGCCTTTAAAAGGAACATTTGTTAATAATAGGTTTTACTCTTGAAGGCCTTAATTTTAAGGCTCATACCACGTAAATCTAGAAACTCTAAAGATACATACTTAGATACTCTGGCTAAAGTACCCAATCATATCACACAAGGGAAAGTTTCTGAAGAACTAATGCTTTCATTTATTTCATTTATTTTAGTTTTTATTTCCTTATTATTAGAACATATTTAGAAATGGCAGCATTTTAAATATTAGCCTATCTTTACATAAAAAAGAATACTGTAGTTAACACATTATGATTTTGAAAGCTAATTTAAGAAATGGTTTTATACTACCTCTAAATGCTTTTTTTTTTTAATTTTATTTTTTTAATTAATTTATTTATACAAGCACTGGGTACAGTCAGAAGCACGGAGGGTGAGAGAATTCACCAGAGCCAGAGCAGGGAGCAGAGCAGGCAGAAGGACCGAAATACACTGATGAGGGGAGCAGCGGGCAGCAGGAGAGGTCTGCGCTCCATGTGGGACCCTCCTCTGGTGGCCAGGGAGCAGCCGGGGATCGAACCGGCGCTGCAGAGGCTGTGGGCAGCTTCACAACCCAGCGCTCAACCGCTGCAACACCAGGGAGGCTCTCTAAATGCTTTTCTAAGTCATCCACTCAGCAGGAAAAGGAGAAATCCAACTTTTTGTTGTATCTAAAGTCTACTCTTATTAGGGTTCCTGCCACTTTTTCCTCTCTGATCTAATTATATTCTCCCAGTTGGGATACCTATGTGACCAAGTACAGTCATCTGGGATATCTGAATCAAAAGATTAATGATACATGGGGCTTATTTTATGAGCACTAATTAAGTCAGCTAACTTCCTACATAATCGTCACTGGATAGATTTTCAAATGTTTAAGAGTTTCAAATTCTCATAACCACAGCTTAAAAGTTAAAATGTATAAAGAAAATCAAAAGGAAAAAAACTCAAGTTTCAAAATATGGCTAAAGAATATAATTGTTTTTTGTAATTCTCTGTTTTAGGAAATTTAGTGAGAAAAATTTAGTTTTAGTCACCATGAATTAAATCATTGTCATACATTATGTTATTCTTCACCTTTAAAAGTCATTGAAAAGGGAGTTCAGATGTATACAAGGTATAGAGTGCTCTGGATTTTTTTGTTACTTTATTTAGGGTTGAAGTAAGACCATAGGCTCTCTAGTGAAATAATCTGAAATTAGTTGTTTTTTTCTTTATTTTTTTAACTATTCCTCAGACAGTTTGACCTGAATATTTTTTCCTTAACCGTGGCTTTCAGTGACTGCTAGGTTACTACTTAGGGTCAATCAATGAGCAGCTCAGAATCTCGAGAGATGATACAATTTAAAGTGCTGTGAGGGTTAGCTATATGTTGTGAAATGATTACCACAATATGTTCAGTTAAAATTTATCACCTCACATAGTCACAGTTTCTCCTTGTGACACTTCATATTCCTCCTCGTATTTTCTATTCATTGAACCCTATTTTACTTTCTAAATTAACAAAACAAGTATATTCTTTTCTTTAATGGAAGCCCTTGAAAAATATGAAGATAGATAGATACTTGATCATAACTTGAAAATCTAAGGGCCAGAAATTATACTGGGGACTTTATATACTGTGTTTATAACATCCTTCATTGGGTAGGCATTTTATAATTGAAGAAGCTGAGAGACTGAGTTTGAGAGTGGATTTGATTTAATTTCACACAGCTAGTTAAGCGGCAGGTTTTAAATCTGCATCTATTTGACTGCAAAGGCAGCAGAGGAAGGAAGAAAAGGCTTTCATATGCTTATCAAATATATCAAACAAGGTATATTCATCACCAGGTTTGACTTAATACTGAAGAATCCCTGCTGGCTGTTGTTATTTATTACTACTTTCCCTAAATAAACATACATTTAAGAGAAAATAATTTACCTCAGAATATTGTTAACGACTCTTTGTTAATGTAATTTTGGTTTGCAAAATCAGCTTTCCTCTAAAAAACCAGAACAATTTTGCCCCGTTCTCACTAAGTACCATTTTGTTCTTCACAATGCCTTAAGCAATGATTCCCAAACTTTCATTAGGGAAAATTCACAGCCTCTACCTCAGCCCCACTCAATTAAAATCTCTAATGAAGGAATATAAGGAACTATTCTGTTTTTTCTTTCAACTATTTATTTGGAAATTATTTCAAATTTATTAAAAAACAAGATAAAAATAGTACAAAAATCACCCAAATACCCTTTATCCAAGATTCACCTATTATTAGCATTTAATTCTACTTCTCATTTGTTCTGTTTCCATCACACACACACACACACACACACTCTCTCTCTCTCTCTCTCTCTCTTTCTTTCTGGGAGCCATGAGGTCATAGTTCACATGCCATGGTACTTTACCTTTAAATACTCCAGTGTGTATTTCCTAGGGCTAGGAATAGTCTCTTCCATAATCATACTATAGGTTCAACATTGTAAATTTGCTATGATACAATATTTAATCTAAACTACAATCCATATTTTGTGAATTGATTATTTAAAGCATTTCCCTCCATCCAGTATAGGACATAGTGTAGGATGAGATGTTGCATCTAACTTTCTTTAATCTGGAATTTCCAGATTAATCTGGAATATTATTTTTTACAGTATTGACATTTGTAAAGAACACAGTCCTGATGCCATGTTTTTATTAATTCTCATTTTGTGTTTGTTGTTTCCTCATGATTGTAATACTGTGTAAGAAATATGGTGTCCTTCTTTGGGTGTCAATTCTAGTGGAATAATATCCATCTGTCCCTTAGGAACACAGAATAAAAGTGTTGATTCCACTTTTTCATCCTTTTAAACTTACAAGCGCTCTGTGAGGATACACTTTAAAACTATGCAGGCATCCTGATCCTCATCAAAAATTCACTTTAATTTAGCATCTATTGCTGATTCTTTCTCAGTCCTCTCTTACTTGATCCTACCACTAGCTACAAATGATGATTTTTCCAACTCCACCATTCTTTCCATATCTACCAGCAAGTCCTTGACATTCTACTTTAAACAAAATATCTCCCTTATTCCATTTATTTATTTATAATCAATACAGACATCAATTTCTCAATTATTTATGATTCCTAATTACTTTATAATTCTATTTTTTATTTTTTTTAAAGATTTTATTTATTTATACAAGAACTGGGGTACAGGTCAGAGGCACGGGAGGGTGAAAGAATTCACCAGAGAGAGTGGGAAGCAGAACAGGCAGACGGACTGAACACACTGCTGAGGGGAGCAGCAGGTGAGGCAGGAGAGGTCTGCCACGCCATGTGGGTTTCTCCCTGGCTGGTCAGGAATTGAACCCGCGCTGCAGAGGCTGTGGACAGCTTCACAGAATGGCACTCAACCCGCTGCGCCACCGGGGAGGCCCCTCTATTTTTTTTAGATTTATTTATTTATGCATACAAAAACTGGGATACAGGCCAGAGATGCAGGGGCTGAGAGATTCACCAGAGACAGAGTGGGGAACAGTACAGGCAGATTGACTGAAGAACACTGCTGAAGGGAGCAGCAGGCGAGTCAGGAGAGGTCTGCTGCTCCATGTGGGTTGCTCCCTGGCAGGTCGGGGATTGAACTCATGCTGCAGAGGCTGCAGATTGCTTCACAGTGTGATGCTCAACCCCTTGCACCACCAGGGAGGCCCTATTATATATTCTATTTTAAAAGTACTATTAATAATTCTTTACAATAAATAATTATTTGGTGCTCAATGTTCCAGACTGTGGCAGTGGGATCTGCTTTTTCATTCAATTCCTGTGTTGCTAAAATTGAGCATTTTCTTTCTGTTCAAACAAATAGTTCTAGCTTTGACTTGTACCTATCCTACTCTAGCCCTGAAGTCACCCATTTTTCCAAGAAACCTAGTGCTTCTTAGAAAGAAGTAATAGTTCTAGAGACAGAGATCTGGGCCCTAGGGTACTCATTAGACTGGGATATTTTTGTTTCCTGGCCTTTTCACTAGACGGGAGGGAATATATGTAAGTACATATATAGTTATTATGGGAAAAGCTATGGAAGGACCTCAAAATATTAAAAATAGATCTACCATATGAACTGGCAATTCCATTCCTAGACATCCACCTCAAGAATGCAAAAACAGGGCCTCCCTGGTGGCGCAGCGGTTGAGCGCTGGGTTGCGATGCTGCCCGCAGCCTCTGCAGTGCCGGTTCGATCCCCGGCTGCTCCCCGGCCACCAGAGGAGGGTCCCACATGGCGCGCTAGACCTCTCCTGCCGCCCGCTGCTCCCCTCAGCAGTGTACTTCTGTCCTTCTGCCTGTTCTGCATCCTGCTCTGACTCTGGTGAATTCTCTCACCCTCCCGTGCTTCTGACTATACCCAGTGCTTGTATAAATAAATAAATCTTAAAAAAAAAAAAAAAAATTAAAAAAAAAAAAAAATGAGCAAACAAACAAAATTTAAAAAAAAAAAAAAAAGAATGCAAAAACACTAATTTGAAGAGATATATGCTCTCCTATGTTCACTGCAGCCCCATTTACAATAGCCAAGTTATGAAAACAACCAAGTTGCCCAAAGACAAGGGAGTGGATTGGAAAGATGTGATGTATACACACAATGGAATACTACTCAGCTATAAGAAAGATGAACTTGTGCCTTTGCAACAACATGGATGAAACTGGAGGGGATAATGCTAAGTGACATAAGTCAGAAGAAAGACAAATGGAATTTGTTACATGTGGAATATATAGAGAAAATAAACAGACAAAACCAAACCAACACTTGCCATCTGATTGCAAAACTGAGTGAACCAGAAGGGAAAATTAGAAGGGTGGTGGTGGGGGGAGCATAGGGAGGGAGAGAGTGACCCAAAGAAGCATGGTGAATAATCAGTGGAGCATGGTGTGAAAACACATTTGGAGAGATTTCAACCTATACGTCTAAAAACAAATACAATAATGTAAACACCTTTGCTATAATAAATACATTTAAAAAAAATTCAGGACATATATATCATCAATCTAAAAAATATCCAAAAGCAACAAGATAATCATGATACTTACTTCATCCCGATAAAGTGGACTTGTATAATACATTATGTCCATTGCACTGCTGTTCAACATATCCCTTAAGCCTCGAACTTTGTCAGGAGTAATGGAATCAACAGTATCTACAAATTTAAAAAAAGTTAAACTTAGAGAAAACCTATTTTAGGGAAAAATGAATTGTGGAAAGACATATTCCCTGAAATAAGTCGATAACATTTAAATATTCTAGACTAGCTTTAGATCTAATGAATTTTCCATTTTTAAAATATATTACAAGAAAAAAAAAAACAGTAAAGACAGGGGACATGGGAAGAAAAAGGAAGTAAAGGATGAAAGCCATTACCAAATCTATATGAAAGCCATTATCAAATCTTATTTTTCTTTAATATATTGGATTTTGCCTAACAGTCGGGAGTACCCACGGCACAAGGAGGCCATCTCTATTCCTGTGCACAATCTCTGTACTTCCTTTTTCCTTTTCCTTTGTTTACCCTTGTTGGGCCTGGCAATACCCAATTAGAATGCCATTGGTGACAAACCAGCAACAAAGTTTCCTACACTTTACATATCTTTAGTGAATCAAAGACTCTATGGGTAAGAGCCGTCAAATTACAAATATGCACAAAGGCAAATCAGCATTGGGACGCTCTTCAGTAACAAAGATAAAACTGGGGTAACTTATAGCATTAAAAAAAACTTACAAAAACTATACCTAACCTATGGAAATTCGACCCAGGGAAGATTATTCATTCAACACTCAATAAAATGATTAGCAATGCAGAAAAATTTGTATTTCTTATAGAAATACAAAGAAGTCCTGTTCTTGGATGAATATTGTGATTTGAAAGCACAAGGTAGGCAGGAGAAGGTTACATTTTTAGTCTAGTCCAATTTCTTTCATCTTTCAGTTTTTCACCACCATCAGTCTAAATTACTATTTAATCAAAAAATGACTGTAAAGCAATGATTCAGGCAAAACCTAGAAGTCATTTCAAAGATATAAAGGGAAATATTGTGGCACAAAGTTTATAATCTATACCTATTTTTAAATTGTAAGTGAAAGGTTTGACAACTATGCTGATCTGAAATGTTTACATGTCATTTTAATACATTTCTAAAATAATTTTTACTGTAATAGACACATAATTTTTACTGTAATACATATGAAAGTGTTTATGTGTGCAGCTGATAGAATCATTTATATAAAGGAAAACATATTCCTACCACCTACCTTAAGAATACTGCCAGCATCTTTGAAATCCACAGTATATCTCTAATGACATGCCCTTCCCTCTCTACTAGAGGTAACTGCCAATAAGAAGTTTGTTTTAATCATGCTTTTGCTTTTACACATGCCCATCAATATTAATAATTTTAGCTAATTCATGTCAGTGTTTAAATTTATTTAATTTTGTCTTTATTCGAATACTATGTAAATTGAGCTATATTGTTCATGGTCTGTTTTACTCCCAAACTATGTTTCTGTGAAATTCATCGATGTTGATGTATACAGCGCTGTTCCATTCATTTGCACTGTTCATTGTATTCTACTCTATACATAGTTCATAACCTGTTGATTCTCTTTGAGAGACATATGGGTTATTTTTAGTTTTTTGTGAATGCAAACTATGATATATAGGTATGTCTCCTTATACACGTGTAGGAGTTTCTTTAGGGTCTCTATGTATCTGGGAGTAAAATTTTTGTGTCATAGGGTACATGCACATCAAACTATAAAAAAATTGTCTTCCAAAGTGATTGTACTCATTTACAACCCCACCAATGGTGAATGAGAATCCTCATTGTTGCACGTCCTCACCAACACTTGGTATTGTCACTTTCTTAAATTTTTACCTAACCGATGGATGTAAGCAATATTTCACTGTGGTTTTAATTTGCATTTCCTTCATTACTATAGATGTATATTTTATATACTGTACATATGTTTAAACATATTTATATTTATTATGTGATATATAAAACACATATTAAACCTTTGGTGGTTATATCTGTTGCAACATCTTTTCTCAGTTTGTGGGTTGTCTTTCATTCTTTATGGTGTCTACTGAGAAACAGAAGTTCCTAATTTTAATTTAATTTATTCCTATTTCTGTTTAGCTGTGCTTTTGTGTCTTGTTTAAGAATTCTTTCCTATGCTGAAATCATGAAGATATGCTCCTGTTATTTTTTTCTAATATCTTGTAAGTCCTTGGTTTCTATATATGCATTTGAGTCAACTGGAATGTGGAAGAGATAAATTTTACATTTTTCATTCATTGGATAACCAGTTACCAAACATCATTTACAGAACAGGCCACCTTTTCATCAATAATCTGCAGTATCACCTCTGTTATATCAGGCTTCCAAGCTAAGCACAAGTCTGTTGAGAGAATATTCCAGCCTGATACACTAATTAATCTACTTGCCTTCCTTGTGTCAGTAATAGACTACTATTTTAGTAAATTATTGAACCTGAGAATGGAGTAATTGGAACACCTAAATTTATACCTCATCATTTGTAAGTACAAGTGACAATCTGGTTCTTATGAATGGTACCTGAAGTAATGGGCAGTCTTGTGGGATTGAATGTTTAACCAGTGGAATTTATACTATCTCTGGGCAATAAGTGTCAAATTGAGTTACACTGTAGGACATTTAATGGGTGTCCATTAAAAAGAAAATTGGTTTGTATGTAGAAAAACATGCATACATTTGGTGTCAGACTGTTGAGGATAAAGAAACAGCGGTGTTTTTCCTTTTGCTTCTTTTATTTAGCACAATGTCTCTGGAGTTCTATCACAGTTACTTAAATCTAACAGAAAATTATAAACTCAGGGAGGTCTTATTAAATGTACATTCATCCTTGTCTGTATTTCTGAGAAGTCTCAAAATGTATCTGGGTATATGGGAAAAACCCAAAAGAGAGTGTTAATACAATAGAACTTTATGTATGAGCTATTGCTAATGAGAGCTATTGCTAATGAGAACTTTAATCACTAGCATTTAAAAAAAACCTCATTACAGCTTTTGATTCCATTTATGGCTTGATCAGTTATAAATGAAGCTCCTAACTATGAGACAGAATCACAGATGTCTCAGAAGCTTTGGAAATAATCCAGGCAGTATAGCAGTGTGGTAAACAAGACTTCTTAGCATCACATAGACCTCATTACTCCTCCTGCTACTCTTAGCTATTTTCACATTTCACTGACTTTCAATTTCCATATCAATAAGAATGAAAAAACAGAGATTTCACAGATATGTGAGAAATTTAAATGATACTACATGCAAAATGAAGAGTTCCATGTACATAGGACAGGCTCCACAAATGGCAGCTACTATTATGTCTAGCATAACTCTCATTTTCCAGATTATGTACATAGGCAAACTAAACATTCTATTTAAATAGTTTTAATAATTAGGGGACACAATTTTGCATAAGAAATACGCATAATTTGGCTGATAATACCTCTTTAAGGAAGGAAACAAAAATGACCTTATTTAAACATATGTATTATACAATCCGTGAATGCTAAATTATAATTACCAGCCCAGGGAATACAGGAACAACATAACAAAAAACAAAATTCCTGGGATTTTTATCTTCCTCAATACAGAGGAGTAAAATTATTAGGAAGAAAATGTAAGCGCCTATGGAACTGTAGAAACAAACGTTTTAAAAGTATTCCTAAATCATTTGTATGTCAAAAATTTAAGAAAACATTTTGTTCCCCAAATCCACAGAAGACATGGATAAAATACTATCTGTGAAGTCTGTATGTTGATGCCCAAAAGACACAATTTATATAATTATTTAAAAAAAAAAATGGAGTGAGTATACCTGAAGATAATTAAATTGAAGAAACTTTGTTCCCAATGTGCAACACTGTGTTGCCACTGGGTAAGTCAACTTTTAAAGAAAATGTACCTCCATCTAGAGTAAGTTTTGACCTCCACTCAACAGGCAGAAATTCAACATGTGTTGCATGATTGGAAAAATGCCTTTCTTCCATTTTTCTTGCAGCCTCTCTCATCCTAAAAAATAAAACCAAAATAAAAACAAATTTATATGCCATAAAATATTTTTAATCATAACTCTTCCATTTGCTTATAATGTTACTCAATTATGTTTCAGTTACTGCTATACTATACAATAGTTTGCAATAGCAGGACATTTTTATTTCTTTTTTTTTTTTTTTTTTTGGTGGGACCCTTGCCGGCGGCTGGGGAACAAACCGGCGCTGCAGAGGCTGCAGGCAGCCTCGCAGCCCAGCGCTCAACCGCTGCACCACCAGGGGAGGCCCCATTTTTATTTCCTTTTTAAAAAGATTTTATTTTTATTTATTTTTGCATACAAGAATTGGGGTATAGGCCAGAGGTGCGGGGTGGGGGTGACAGGATCCACCAGAGAGAGAGCGGGGAACAGAAAAGGTGGTTCTACTGAAATACACTGCTAAGGGAAGCAGAGGGTGAGGCAGGAGAGGTATGCTGTGCCATATGCGGGCCATATGCTGTGCCATATGCGGGTATGCTGCCCTGGCCAGGGACTGAACTCATGCTGCAGTGGCTGGCGATAGCTTGATAGCACTGAGACTTTAACCTCTGAGCCACCAGGCAAGCCTAGAACACCTTTATTTCAAAGCTATTTTCCGAAATTTGTCATCTATGATTTCAAATATTCAAAACTCCCATGTTCTATATAATTCTATGCATGCATTTTTAGTAGAGAGCACAATAATAAATGCCATTAGGCTATCTACCAGTTCCGAATATTAGCAAGTGTGGCCTGTCTTATTTATTTAATCTATTCGTCCACTTTCCAATCTATTTGCCCTACAATATGGATTTTTAAGTTTAAAATACAGTAAAATTGAATTTTTCTCCTGTTTGGTGTCAATTAAGATTTAGGGTTAGCACCATCACAATCAAAATACAGAATAGTTCTATCATCCTGAAAGATCTCCCTCATGCTAGCCCTCTGTAATTTGTACCCAATTCCACCTACTGGTGGGAATATAGACTGATCCAGTCCTTAAGGAAAACACTACACGGAGGGACCTCAAAATATTAAAAGTAGACCTACCACATGAACCAGCAATTCTAAGCCAAGGCTTCTACCCAAAGAATGCAAAAACACCAATTCAAAGAGTTGTATGCACTCCTATGTTCATTGCAGCATCATTTACCATAATAGCCAAGTTATAGAAACAACCTAAGTACCCAAATGAGTAATTAAGATATGCTATACTATGGAATATTACTCAGTTATATATATAAAAAAGATAAACTGTTGCCATTTGCAATGACATGGAAGGAACTGGAGGGGATAGTGTTAAGTGATGTAAATCAGGAGGAGAAAGAAATAACACATAGTTTCAGTCATATGTGGAATGTAGAGAAACAAAACAAAAAGGATGTAAACTAGTATTATCTCAAAAGAAAAAGTTAAAAAGGAGTTTTATCTCTTCTATTTAAGTCTTTGATTCATTTTGAATTTTCCTATTTGATATTACATAGGAACTTAGCTACACATGTGGATATCAAGGTATCTCTGCAGCATGTTTTGACACTGTTTTCAAAAATTAATTGAACTCTCTATTCTGTTCCATTGGTCTACTGATATCTACATGACAGTCGGCACTGATAATGTTTTGATTACTCCAGCAAATTATGAATTTGCGAAGGTTAATCTTGTTTTTCAAGATTGTCTTGCTTATTCTGGATCCATGCTTTTCCTCAAAATTTTAGGATCAGTTTATCAATTTCTGCAAGAAACATAGGTAGGATTTTAATAGGAATTGCAGTGAATTTATAGATCTATTTGGGAAGAAATGGAATCCTAATATTCTAATTTACAAACATGGGCTGTCTTTTCCATTTATTTAGGTCTTCTTTAATTTCTTTTTTCAGTGTAATATTCGTGCTCTTCTTTCATTAAACTTATTCCTGAGAATTTTATTATTTTTGATGCAATAGTGAATGGAAATGCTTTAATTTTCAGATTGTTTGCTACAAGTCTATATGTTTTTTTTAATCTTGTATCTTGTAACTTTGCTGAGTTCATTTATTATCTGTAATAGCATCTTCATTTCTGTATATTTTCTTAAAATGCTCTCCTCTTCTTCAGTAAGCTTACATAATCCTCCACACCACAGGATTACCATCAGTTGTCCAGTGATTACATATGCAGATGCTAATTGGGAAAGTAGGTATATCTATTGAATAACTTCACCAACTAGTAGGTGACTCTTTATAAAGGAAAGAGAGGAAAGATGAAAGAAGACAGTAAGCAACACAGGAAGAAGGTGGGGGGGGGGTAGGTAAGACAGACTAAATGCTGGCTGTTACCAAATTTGCCTTAATAAAAGTGGCAAAATCTATTTCCTAGATTTAAAATATAGTTAGAGGGCCTCCCTGGTGGCGCAAGGGGTTAAGCACAGCCCTGTGAACTATCCACAGCCTCTGCAGCACAAGTTCTTCGATCCCCAGCGGGCCAGGGAGCCACCCACATGGCACGGCAGACCTCTCCTACCTAGCCCGCTGCTCCCCTCAGCAGCGTATTTCAGTCCATCTGCCTGTTCTGCTCCCCTTTCGGTCTCTGGTAATCCTCTCACTCCCTGCACCTCTGGCCTATACCCCACTTTTTGTAAGCATAACTACATGAGAAACATTGAGACCAACAGGGAACGGAGGAAATAAGAAAAAGGAATGTTTTAAAAGTAAACCACATCTACTTCAGATTATATAACCCATTACTGTGTAACTGTCAGTTTATAAGCTTATTAAACTTCCATGATCTCCTGTTAGTCTCTGAATATTTACTTCCAATTTTGAAAAAGGAGGAAGAAATTAATAGCACCTAAGAATTACTATTCAATTAGGTATCATTAAATATCCTGATAAAATAAGAGAAAATCCTGATTTTCTCTCAATTAGAAAAACAACTGTTAAATAATAAATAATTGATTTAAAAAATATACATATATATCATGTGTATACGCAAACACACACACATACATATATGAAAGGAGGGAAAGAGAAAATCATGAATAAAAATACCCAAGATACAGTTTTTACACATGAAAGCTAGGTCCAGATGTGTATTCAGTATGCTATCTTTTGTGTGGAATTCTGTATTTGCCTAAAGAAACTCTATAGCTAGAGCATGAAATAAGTGAATACACTGCTTTGAGAAAAAGGATTCATAGAGGAAGATGGAAACAGGAATGGGAGTCAGACTTTTTGCTCTAAATATTTTTTTTTCTAGTTGAAGTAATGTTGGCTTACATTATTGGTATTGTATAAGTATCAATACTTATTAAAAATAGATCTACCCTATGATCTAGCAATCTCACTCCCAGGTATTTACCCAAAGAATGAAAAATAACAATTCAAAGGGAAATATTCACTTCCATGTTAATTGCAGTCCTATTTACAACAGCCAAGTTATGGAAATAACCTAATTGCCTAAGGACAGAGGAGTGGATTGGAAAAATGTGGTGTGTACACACACACACACACACACACACACACACTCACACTTTATATATATACACACACACATACATACACACATATATGCACAACATATATTTATATATATATGCACACAGTACACACACACACATACACACACACAAAATGGAACACTCCAGATATAAGGAAAGATGAATTCTTGCCATTTGTGACAACATGGACGGAACTGGAGGGAATAGTGCTAAGCAACATAAGGAGAAAGACAAATATCAGATTGTTTCACTGACGTGTGGAATATAGAGAAAGAAAACAAGTGGTCAGGGAACCGAAACACTAAGAAAAAAAATCACAGTTGTCTGCAGAAATGAGAATGACAGAGGGGTAGAGTTAAGGTGGAGAGCAGGGTGTGCAGGGAGCCCAAGTGGACTATGGTGGGGGACTAGGCGTGCCTTGGTGGTGGGTGTGGTAACATACAACTGAAGAGGTGTGAGCCTAGACCTCTAAATCATATACATACGTAAATTAATGTTATTTCAATAAAACAGTATTACAATAAAAAGTAATGCAAAATGAAATGTTTTAGAATTACAGAGATGTTGCTGAGGACATACTTTTTGGTATCATAGTATTTTCTTTCTAAGGACTTGAGAACTCTATTACTTGACGTCTCAAGCAGATAAACTGCTCTCACATACAACTATCTGTTCATAAATATGCCGAGAGTTCCTTTACACTGTCTGCTAGTTCAGAGCCAAATTTCAAGCAGAATCCTTAACCCTAACATTTCCTTTAAAGAGTCATTAACATTTTTGAACACACTTGAATGCAACCCCCTTATCCCCAAACAACTTAACCAGTTTTTAGAATAAAGCAATTTATGAGGCAAATAACCTGCCTGGTATTTTGTAAAGCACCCACTGTTCTCTGTGTAAAATTCAGAGTTGAGTTGCAATTAACTGGACAGGTTAATTGCTAACTGGCAATTTAAACAAGTCTTTGTTTTTTCAGAATTATGCAATTTTGCTGTATTCTCAGTTTCTGCAGTTCAGAGAGTAAAATATAAATTTAAAACTAGACTTTTCTTTTGCTTTTGACCTTAGTTTAATGGACATTATTACCACATTAAGTTAAAATGTCTTTGTTACTCCACTATACTGTGGGAAGAAAAAGAAAAACAAAGTATCATCATCATAATCTATACATAATGACTCTTAAAATTTGGTCCAGAAAATTCACCTACAACTTAAGTGATAGAATTGGCATTGGAGAACCATGTGGTGCAGTGATTAATTTCTGGACCAAAAAAACCTGGGCAAAGTTTGGATTCTAGACTAGATGGAGAATGCATTCATCAAAGAACTCACATGGCTGTATTTTTGATAATTCTTCCTTGGTCCATTTTCTGCCCAATACCATGCACAACAAATACAATATGGGTGGTCTGTGATGGCTTGTCTTCTAATGTGGCTTCTTCTACATAACCTCTATGAAGTCTGGTCCCACTACTTGATGCTGTAGAAAAATTATGATTCTAAGTTTACTGTTTATTCCAGAAATAACATTTTCACAATATATTGAATGAAACAAAGAAAGGACTACTAAGGAAAAATTCAGTGAACTGGGGAAGAATATGTTGTTAAATGATGTATATTGATTGGTTCTGATATAAAGTGCTGAATTGGTCATGACACCAAAGCCAGAAACCATAAGGAAAAACAAAAGGAAGGATGAACTGAACACAGAAAAATTAAAAACATCTCTTAAAAAAAAAGCATGAAGCAATAATAAAAAACAAATGACAAATGGGAAAATTTTTGACAGTATGGGTTCATAATTAATTACCAATTAATAATTGATGTAAATTAATTATATACAAAGAAAGCTTGCTATCAAAAAGTGAAAAGACAAAACATTCAAAATAGGCTAAATATATAAGGTAATTCACAAAACAAATACAACTGGCTGATATAAAAAGAGGTTTTTAAACATATCTGTTGTAAAAGAAATGAAAAAGTGAGGTAATAAAACTATCACTTAAATTTTTTGGGAAAAATTTGTCTTTTGATAATGCTCTCATTATTTTCACATACCATTCCCTCTTTTCTTTTAGTTTAACTTCTTACCTCACTGCCTCAATTTCCTCACCTTCTACTTACGCTTCAACCCACACCAACTTGGCTTCCTCCCTATCAGTCCATCTAAGTAACTACTGAATTCCATGTTACTAAATCCAATGGAAAGTTTTCAGTCTTCATTTTCCTTGACACTATGTTTCAACTGTCATGTTTTATTTTCACATCATTGCCTCTGGTTTGACTGGTTTTGTGCTTTTAGAAATACAAAAAGTATTTGCTAATCTTGTCGGATCATTCTAAATATATTAATTATTCATTGTTGAATACATGTCAACTCCAAAACTTAATGATAGTCTCATTTAGTAGTAACTGCCATTAAATTTAACATATATTTAAAATACACTTAAAATGAATTAAAATGGTATATTTTGAATGAGAGGGAAAAGCCAGATTCCCCGAATTTTGACAAACTATAGTAATAATTTAACAATTACCTTTAGAAAATCCTAGTTTTTGGGTAACTGTTCTTGCAATTTTAGATGTTGTTGCATCACTATAAAGATAAACTTCATCCACACTGTGCCAATCCACATGATTTCGACTCAGCTTGAAACTATGAATAGCTGTAAAAAGGGAAAACTCATTTTAAGGTCTCCAAAATAAACTTCACTTGTGTGAAAAATTATGATACATGGATTTTAAAATCAGTATTATCTAACAACTCAGATATGTAAGTTAGTTCAATGAAAACCTATTTCATTGAAAAACATACTGATATGAATTAGCTAATTTGTAACAGAGAGGGACTTTATAGCAACTTGGAACATGTAGTAACTTGCTTAATTACCATAATTTTAACCTCAGGCACATAGTTAATATGTTTTATTATTAAATAACTGCTTCCCCAGGAGATGTGACATTCCTTCAGTCTAAGAATAAAGACCTTCAATGAAAGTCTTCAATAGCTTTGACAGAGGAACTTAAGTTCTATTTCTTTTGTTTATATTATTTTTGGATCTACGAAAATTTTACTTTGTGCAAGACAAGCTAAGACTCGGAGGAAAAAAATTTACCTTTAAAGTGTTAAGAGAATAATTTAGTTTACTAAAATATAAAGTATTTTTGGAATGGACATTAAAGTCAATTATCACTGGCTATTGCTCACCATAACAGAAATCCAAATTAAAAGATGTTTTAAAAAGAAATCAAAGAAAAACTTTTTCCACTATGTGGTTCAAATCAACACTGGTCACTGCATTTCTGTAACAGATATACTTGATGCAAATGAGCTCTTAAAAAAAGGGCAATCAAACCCATATGATCTAGGAATACATAATCTCTGTGAGGCAAGGACTATGTCTTGATTATTCTGTGTCACTAGCACTAAACACAGTGCTAATACAATTCCTAACATCACAAATTCAATAATGTTTGTGGAAGTTGTCAAAGCAATGGATTAAAGAAAGTCATAATGTATCCACCAATTCATAGCTTATTAATTCTTATATTCTGAACATCTTAATCTTTCCCTCTATATCTGATACAGAGGTAAGGAAAATTCACATACCCATCTTTCAGAAAACCAAGAACCTTCAAACTGTCCCCGATTTTCTTAAAATCCTCTTTAAACAAAATATTATCTCCCATAACATATGAAAACACAGAGATCCAAACAGATTAATTAATGACTTGCCACAAAGCTAATTATTGGCAGAGTCTAACTCTTCTCATTTGAAAATGAATTAAAAATAACCTTAAGCTAAGTATCAAAGGATATAGCCCTGGTCAAGACTGAAACTTGTAAAACATTATTATGAAAACCTACTCTGAACTATAATACATAAAAGAGTAAGTCCTTTCTGGGGAAATGCACTCTTATGATATAAACGCAATTTCAAAAATTTAGGAAAAAACAGTATTATATACTTATTTTCCAGAACACATTACTAACGATGAAGACAAGACCAAGATGCAATTACATAACATACATTAATCATATATTCAAATCCACAGAAAACAATGTTCAAACCCAGCTTTTTAAATAAAAGAACTTTTCATAAGTTAAACATCTATGCAAGATTTTATCAGCTATTCACTTTTCTAATTCTATGTCTGATCCAAGTCACTATTTTAAGATTTTTATCTAACATTTTTGTTAAAATAGTTTTGGCATATACTTAAAATACTGAACTACAAAAGACTGAGATATTAAAAGAGTAGTGTTAGTCAACAAAATTTTGTTTCCCCTTAAATCATCCACATACTGTCTTTAAAGTAAAAGGTCTTTAATATTGGCAAACACTTCCTTACTGGATATGCATATTGGTCACAAATATTTTACCTCTTTAATTAACTAAGCACAATAGCACAATGGATACATTTCTAAAAAACTAATAATTTCTATGCTAAATACAACTGAATGTCATAAACACACTAATGCTATAAGCCAGGAATATAACTACATGGAGAAATAAAACTACAATTACAGTACCTTGGGAACGCTTTCGCTTAAGACCTGCTGCATCTGTATTCTCCTTATATCCTCTCCATTTGAACAGAGAAGGGAGGGAGAAGGGAGGGAGGTGGTAGACAACTAAGAAAGCAAAAACACTGAGCTTCAAAGTAAATTTTAAATGAGTTTTGCCTTTTTGTCTTTTTGTTGTATTAAGTTAAAAATGAGTTATATTCGACAAACATTATTCTAAATGCTTTTACAGTATAATTTCTAATTAAATATCAATAAAGCAAAGCATTAGTTTAATGTTTATCAAATATTGCTCTATTTTTACTAAAAAAAGGCAAATGATATAAAAATTTATCAGGTAAAGACAACTATGCGACCATTACTTTTAATGTCTTTGCACAGATAGAATAAAAAAGTAGAACATGACATTTTTGTATGTGTATGATTTAGGAACCCCATCTTTATAGAACTAAGGTTATTTACTCTCACCAAATATGTGACTATGACATAGTAAACAGCTGATGTGCAAACTGAGAATATAGTAACATTCTAAATATCTAATTGCCATTTTCCTGGGAAAATACCACAGTATACATTCCACTGCATGCTTTTCATTACTAAAGTATAATGGAGGCTTCCCACAGAAATAAAGTATTCTTTTCACAATTTTGTTCAAATTGTAAGACTTAACAATATGAAACTTTTAATTTCTAAAAACAAAAACAAAAAACCTAAATTGAAAAGCTCCACTTTTAACTGATTGAGAAAACAATGAAAAAAATCACTAGTAAAAATGTATGCTGTGACATCTTGTAAGCATGAAATAAAATAGCGTAAGTTAACATAGTTTTGATATTTGGCAAATCAGTAGATAACCTTAAAGTCAACATTTTCCATGTCAAATTTTCTAACTGTATATATTAATACATTTCTTTACATTCAAATAAGCATTTAAAAACCTACTTGAAATAAAACCTACCAATTTGTTTCTTAAAAGTTCAGTTAGTGAACCACGTTATGTCCAAATTAATGTTGTATACATCTGATTTTCATCCTCACTCCCTTCTACATTAATGCTACATTCAAAGGTTAAATACTGCTCAAATATGAATAAATTTCAATCATATAGTACTAGAAATATAAATACTCAGTTGTAGAGAAAGATGAAATACAAAGATTTGTGCAGTAAATTGAAAAATGCTTACAAAGGCATTTAATTAATGAATTTGATTAGCTATAAAAAACTATGTATTATTTAATTAGACAGCTATAACGCTACGGACTAGGATTAAAAGCTGGGTTGTAACATCAGGATTATAAAACATTTCAATATCACAGAGAGTGGAAAATGACAAAGCAATTTCTTCACTGAAAATGTTTCTTCTTTCATGTGCCTTCTGGTCAGTTATTGAGGAGTAGATCTACCATGTGCATGAAACATTTTTAAATAAAAAAGTCATTAGGAAAAATTAACATAACAAATCAAACTGGCATAAATTTGGGACTCTACTACTCAAAGAAACAAAACCCCAATTTTGTAAATCTACTTGTAAAACTAACAGGAACCAATTCCACATTTATCAAAAGAGAACTAATGGGAAAGATATGCTCCATATGGCCAAACTTCAAAATTATGCAAGCTAGTCAAGAAAATGGAAGACTTCTTTCTAAAGGAATATAATTTAAGGATTAAAAATCCCAATATACTAAAAATAGAGAAGCATATTTATTTAAAGCATTTTCACAAAATTAAAAACACTTCTTTACCTTTCCTTCTCAAATTTAATTCTTATTGTCACTTGAAAGACATTTGTTTTATTTGTTATAGCACCCTATAGCATAGAGAGTGTAATTTTTTTCCACCCAAAGCAAAGAATTAGGGGGTACTATCTTAAGTAGAGACAGAAAGGTTACTATCAATCTCAACAGAGGTCACCATTAAAGGAAATTCATGTGCCAGAAAGCATTACTTATTTTTTCTTCTTCTAAAACAAAGCTTCAACTATGATATCTTACGTAGTGTTAGCAAAAGTATCCATAATTCAAAATATGACTGAAAACACGTATTAAACACATATATTTAAGTTTTACATAACAATAAAAACATTTAAAGTACTAAAATAGTATATCAAAGATAGTTCCTTACTAATTTCTTAAAGAATTTTTTTTTTTCATTATACAATTCTGAGAGCAACAGAATATCACAAACTGGAGGAGGATGTGATGGGGAGAGAGACTGCTGATGATATACTAACCCTTAGAACAACCCAGTATCATAAAAACTGACAACCTGGATAATCTCAACCTCAGGGATAGGAGGTTTATACATCTCAAACTCATCAACTATAGTGAGGCAATTCTGGCAATCATTTTTGGAGCTCAGAGAAAGGCTTAGCTAGTACTCTACCCTCTTTTCCTTCACCCCCTTTTTGACCTTTGATCTGTCATATTTACAATTTGGGATATCCTCATTCAGCAACAGTGACAGGATTACACTCTTTATAAGCCAAATTGCTAAATGTGGTCAATCTGATTGATAGATGTACTAACACCTGCCAATGTATGCCAAATGAGTTTGAACAATAAAAAGTCCATTTTAAAAAACTTTCACATTATCTGTTAATTATTCATAGTGTAACTCCTGGAGACAGCATAGTTAGGTCTTGCATCCTTAACAAATTTGTCAGTCTCCTTAATGGGAATGTTAGTTCACTTGCATTTACTGTATTGGAGTGGGAGAATTAATTCTACCATTTCCCACTCATTTTTCTCTTTGTTCCATCTGTATTTTGTTTCTTTGTTCCTGCTTTCTTTTTAGTCACTATTTTATTATTTGTTTTAATTACTCTATTGGCCTTTTAAAAAAAAACCTTTTTACTGTGGAATAATTTTAAACTTACAGAAAGTTGCAGAAATAATACAGAAAGCTACCATACATCTTTTAGCCAATTCCTCCTATTGTTAGCATAACTATAGTACAATTATCAAAACTAAAAAATTAACCTTGATGCAATATTAACAATTGAAATACAGACTTTATTCAGATTTGCCCAGTTTTACTAATTAATATTTTTTTAGTTATTCTAGGTTCCACCTAGAGTACCACATTGCATTTTGTTATCCTAGTTCCTTTGTCTCCTTTAGTCTGACAAATTCCTCATCTTTCCTGACCCTAACACTTTAAAAAAATTTTTCAGTTCTATAGAGGTATAATTGACAAAACTGTAAGATATTTAAAGTGTATATTGTGGTGATTTAGTATAGCTGTATATTGTAATATGGTTTCCCCCATCTCGTTAGTATGACATTGATACTTTTGAAGAATACCAGTCAATTATTTTGTAGAATGTTCCTCAGTTTAAATTTGTCTGATGTTTTCTCATGATTGGATTTAAGGTTATGCATATTTTGGCCGGAGTGACTAATTCATTTAGTCGCAGGACTAAATTCATTTACTTCAACTATTCTTTTATTTCTTAATGATTAATGTTTATATAAATTATAAATTAAATGAAACCCTAATCTAGTATTTGGTTTAAGTATTTACAAAATTACTTATTTGAAGACCTCGCTGATTCATCCCCAGTGAATTCTTGGCTTTCACTTGTTAGGCTGCTAAACAAACATTTCCTACTCTAAGAGATAGGATGTGAGGAGAATCAATTTTCATTTTAACCCTCAATCTAAATTAAGATTAAACTAAATCTGGGCCTCCCCGGTGGCGCAGCCGTTGAGCGCTGGGCAGCGAAGCTGCCTGCAGCCTCTGCAGCGCAGGTTCGATCCCCAGCCACCGGCGAGGGTCCCACATGGCACTCAGACCTCTCCTGCCGCGCCCGCTGCTCCCCTCAGCAGTGTACTTCATCAGCCTGCCTGCTCTGCTCTGCTCTGTGCTCTGGCTTTGGTGAATCCTCTCACCCTCCCACTTTTCTGACACTACCCAGGGCTTGTATAAATAAATAAATATATCTTAAAAAAAAAGATTAAACTAAATCTGGGGCCTCCCTGGTGGCAAAAGGGCTGAAGACGCAACCTATAAAGCTCACCGCAGCCACTACAGCACAAGTTCAATCCCCGGCCAGGGAGGTGACCCACATGGTGCAGCAGACCTCTCCTGACTCGCCTGCTGCTCCCCTCAGCAGTGTATTTTGGTCGATCTGCCTGTTCTATTCCCCGCTCTGTCTCCGGTGAGTCCTCTCACCCCCCAAAAAAACTCTGGCCTGTATCCCAGTTCTTGTATGTATAAATAAGTAAATCTTTAAAAAAAAGAGATTAAACTAAATCACAAGTGATTATGTTTGTGGACTATCTTTATGTAAAAATGTCATGATAAACTTTCATCAATCTATTTAATCAATGCTTGCTTTGAGATAAGAAGATTTTTATGAAGAAAAATATCAAATATCCCACTCATCTTATAGCAACAGCTAACCTAACCAAAACACAAACAAGATCAGAAAGAAGTCATTTTATTTTAATGTCCTTCAAGAACTTGGTTTATTTTCTTAGAAATTCCACAGAACACTTTAATAATAAACAATGAGAAATTCCTGAATATAACATTGAAAAATGCTTTAAATTATTAAATGGGGTTTTTCCAGAAAGCCTTGAGTAACTCCATTGTATTGTGATGGCTAGGTTTCTTTATCCAAATAGCTTTTCAGAATGTATAACATTCACTGTCTACTGTGTTATGTTGTGCTTCCTCTCATAATTGTTCTCAGCTATAGGTTTTATCTTCCCCAATAGGTTTTAAATGGACAGGGAAGAAGAAACCCTGCCCCTATTTTTCACAAAAGTGCTTAGCACTGTACTATATTCACATAGAAGCACTGAAAATCTGACAATATGGGCCTCCACAACCTATGAAGCTATTCGCAGCCATTGCAGCACAAGCTTGCACCCCGGCTACAGAGCTGCCCATATGGCGCAACAGACCTCTCCTGACTCTCCCGCTGCTTCCCTCAGCAGTGTATTTTAGTCAATCTGCCTGTTCTGTTCCCCACTCTGTCTCTGGTGAATCCTCTCACTCTCCCCCATATCTCTGGCCTGTACCCCAGTTCTTGTATGCATAAATAAATAAATCTTTAAAAAAAAATCTGACAATATGAAGACACAAGGTTTGATCACACATACATGAAAAACTCTAGGTGGATAGGTCATTTTTTAAAATTGAGGTAATGTTGGTTTACAATGGAAAAGGTATTTCTCCCCCTGAAATTAATGATATACAAAATTTCAGAAGCTTGTAAGCAGCAAAATAATCAAGAGATTATAATATTTTTAATCTTAATCTTAGATGTGGTAAATTTGAGCTATTTTTATAACAATGGTGGCTTTTTGGACTGCAAATGTTCTTAATTCAGTGGCAATTTTCAAGTGTACTACAAAATTCCCTACATTTTCAAAGTTAAATCTTAACCTATAAATGTATGTTTTACATAATACTGAAAACACATGAAATGGCTAGAAATTTATGATAAAACTATAAATATTGAATTGACTCTTTGTTAATAATAAAACACCCTGATGCTTTACCTATGTGCCACAGCACATTTTTGAAAATCAAATTTTTCTAATGAACCTCAAAGAATCATCATTTTGCAAGATTACAAGTGTTTTAACACTATAACGATTTTCTGTTACTATTTTTATCATTCAATGAATATCCTTAAAGTCATCAAAAATATTATCAATATTCTAGATTAGGATTCTAGAATCCTTAATCACATACACTGAAAGGCATGCTAAAATTTCACAAACTATGTCTTATGTCAGACTTATTTAGGTGACTAGCTCATAAAATTAGGGTATTTTGAAGGAAACTGCTACATTTAACATTTAGGTATAGAATAGGAGTAAAAAGGACACATGAAATTATAAATTTTATTGCCATAAGAACAAGATTTCAAGTAGTTGGGGGGATCTAGAGATGAAACAGAGTTGATGAATAATTTCTACATGAGGAATTAAGTGGAAAAAAATGTTTTGAACACAGTATGAGAAAGGGGAACAATCTACTTATATTTTTCATGTTCATCCTTTTTCTCCAAGCTGTTGCTAAGGAATTTGGGTAACTAACCTGGGTTTAAGGTGAATTGCTACTTTTTAAGGCAAGGCTTAAGAAGAATTTAAAAAAGAAAAAAAAAATCTTGTTTAGGATTAGATTTCTTTAATGGCAATGAAACTATTCAGTTTCAAATATTATGAAGCAGGCCTTTGTGATTATTTATGATGAAAGATTACAAAATACTCAGTAGCCACTAATAAAAGATCACAAATATATAAAATCTGCTATCTGTACTATTATCAAAGTATTATTTCCATGGCAAAATGCAGGAATGTAGATATAGCTCTGTTCTGTAGGTATGAAACTGCTCCTTATACATTGATATGTAGGAACCATGAGCTTGAAATGAAATAAGAATATATATGACTTTACAGATTGGGAAAATGAGGTGTTCCTAGAGTACAGTATATGGCACATAACAGAAAACTATTATATAAATTTGATAGTTTTAATTGCCAATTTATTCATAAGTCACAATTTTCATCAATAATACAGATTTTTAACTAACTAGATACAAAAGATACTTTAATTTGAAACAATTTAAACTAATTTCCTTGCTTGTCAGAAGTGTGTGTATGTTTAGAGATATAATTAAAAACAGTAGGAGAAAAAAAGGATCTGGAATGTTACTAACAATTAAAAAAAGTCAACTTTAAAGCTTAGTGATTTGCATTAATTATCTTACATAAACAATTAACTTCTAACCACAGATTTCATTTTTTCAAGTTGCACTCTGTGAATTACTCAATCAATATTGAGTTTTTCTGCTTTAGAGATGTTTCACGAAGAGAAGGGAAAAAATACCTTCATTGTATTTTAGTTCACTAGATTCAGTAGGTCTTGCCAAGAAACCTCCCAAATAAAGGCAATCATGGATGAAGAAACGCTTTTAGAAAAAAAAAAAAATTGGAGGACTCTATAAATTCTAATCTACCTGTACTGTATACTTACCAGAATAGCTGATCCCACTGCCTGCAGTAAATGGAACAATAGAAGTATTTTTAACTTTACCACGTATTTTGAATTTTACTCAAGATCAGACACATAATGAAAAATGATAATCTTGACTATTATATACATATTTTTAACTTTTGCAAGAATATTCAAGCACTAAATAAGGAAATGAAAGGAACGGACTGTTTCAAATTAAAAGCTGATATGGTTAACAACATAGAGACAACTAAGAGATACTTACAGTAAGGTAAGTTTTTGTTAAATTCCAGGAAGAGAACCAACATTCAAATATTAATAAAACTGATCTTTTGATATAAGGGATTTTTAAGTGCAATTTTCTTTGATAACTAAAAACACTAAAAAAAAAAAAAAAACCCCTAACTCAAAGAGGACATTATAACAAATTGTTATTATAATAAATCATGTTAGTTTCATGCCAATGAACATACACATTAAGTAAAATAAAAATTGAGACAGTTCAGAAATTCATGGCAGTTTTAAATTCTAAAATAACAATAAAATGCTTAAAAAAGTCAAAAATTTTATGAATTATAACTTTAATTTTATCAAACTTCAATCTACTCTAAACTTGATATCAACTTACTTGGTTTAGAGAACATATTAATTAAATGTATTAAATGGTCTTACCATCTTTTCCATCTATGGGTTTTGACACTTCAATATCAAAATTTTCCTGCATCTGCTGACCTCTAAAACAGGTGAGATGTTCTTGCTCAATTAAATTACTTTCTTCTTCTTCTAGAGGTTGCCAAGTACCATCAATAAACCACTGCCCACGCATTACTGGTATTTTATCAGCCTCTGAGAAAAGAAATCACAGAATTATACATTTAAGGATCCAACCTCCTAGAAAGAGACATAGTAAATATGTTCTACTCCCCATTCTATATCTGGTAGATCTAGCCTAAACCTCTAGCCTAAACCCCAGTTCTTGAATGCATAAGTAAATAAAAAAATAAATCTTAAAAAAAGGAATAAAAATGAAATGGAAAAAATAAAAACCTAAAAAGCAAAAGCAAAATGAAACAAATGAACTTAGTTATGCAGAATTAGTGGTCTGACCACATGCAAAAAAATTATTTCAAGTGGATTTAAAAGTTATTTATACATATATATTAGATATATCCTATGGACAGAAAGAACTTAAACCTTTTGCAGTAACTACAATGTTACAATTGTTAATAATTATGATACTGGAATTGTTAAGCTGAAACAGTACATTTTAAGATAGTAGGTTATATAGGTTAACAGTAAGCTAAGATAAATATATTAATTTTGTTAATATCAGAAACCAAAATTTTTACCACAAAAGAAACAAATGAAAAAACAAAAAATAAAAGCTAATTTTATATTTCAATTAGAAATGTATTCAGTTAGAATATAATGGTACTAATGATATATTTTGTTTTTCCTTTTTGCATAGGTAGGCAGTCTTAGGGTAAGATTTGCTTGTATTTTCTCTTAGACTTTCTTTTCTCCATTGAATGCTCTTGGCGCCTTTGTTGAAATTACCTGCTTTATATGCTTAGGTATGTTACTAGGTTCTCAATTCTATTGATTTATATTCTGTTTTTATTCCAGTACCATGTTGTTTTGATTACAATTGCTTTATGGCATAGCTTTCAGAGAAATTTATCTTATATTCCAATAAAACTCTTAACAGAAAGTCATCCTATTGCTTATTAACTTTATTCCTGGGATCACTGAATTGCCTGAGTATTTCTCTGACTTTGTTCATGACAGTTATTTTGGGCTATTAGATCACAATCTTCTGTCTTTAAGTTTGGTTTCTATACAACTGTGATGCCATATTACCTTGAAGTTTCATGTTGCTTGGCAGTATATTCCTCTATGCATTTAGTGTATCAAACACTTAAAAAAATTTTTGTGAGGTGTTATTTGCTTCAGTTTTAATCTAACAGCTTAGAAATTAATGACTTTCTTTTTTCCCCAGTAGGTGGCTCTATGGCTTTAGTGTTTGTTATTGCTTGCCACTGGTGCTATGTTGAGAGTTGGTAACCTGGACATGGTAGGTGCAACTACCATGCTTGGATTCTGCTGCTGCATTGGTGGAGAGGGGCACAGATGTTTTTCGTTGCTACAGTGAGAAAGTGGGAAGAGGTGTGACACATGAAGGCAGCCCCACTGTTGTATCTTCTCCTTTGGGTCCTGGGTCTGAGTCTTGACTGTCAGTACTCTGGAACATAGGCACTGATATGTATGGAATTGACCAAGAGGAGTTACAGTTGTGAATATTCCCTGCACCCTCCTTGTTTGGGTTCTGGTTCTGATGCATGTTCCCTCCACTACTTGAGATTCACTTGGGTTGAGACATCTCTACCCTTTCTTTACTGGGACCAGAATGGGGTCAACAGTCTGGCTGTCTCTGCACTACTTGCTCTGCTACCTCCACAACACTTGATACAACCACTTCTGTCACATAGATGTGTGAATCTCTCTGATGTCCTGGTGTCACAGAGTAACCCTTGCTGATTTACAGATGATCTAATAGTTTAGATTCAAAGAGAAATATAGGAAGTGCGTGTTATAACCATTATGTTTGTGGAAGAATTTTCATCAGTGCAAATGTTTTAATTCATATTTTCTGTATTCCTGAGCATTTTAAAGGATAGAGTTCTTAGTGCAAAAAGCATCTACTTCTGCAGATCAGTAAGAGACATTGCTTAAATAGATGATGTTGTGGTGGTAGTGGAGGGTGGGGACAGGACACATTTCTCTTTCATTTCTCCAGATCCTTAATTTTCTCCTTACTTCCTTTATTCTTTTCACTGACATGGCTCTAAGGGGCACCATTCATTTCTAGCTTCTCTCCAAAGAGTTGATACTTCTTAGTTCCTCTCTCTTTTATACATCTCACCTTCAACTAGTGCTAATAATAACTAAGTTCAGGCTTGTGTTCATATTTTGCCAGTTGTGTGGGGATATTTTCTTTTTGAAGTCGATTTCACTTGTGCCTCTCTGATTTCTCTTTTTTCTGACCTCTGTTTTTCACTTTCTCTTAAGCCTCTCCTTGCCCCACTCTATCTGTTTTAATTTGTTACTATTTTATATATAGGTGACTAAAAATTCATGGTACTGTCTATCTTGGAGTAATGCTGAAGGTATTGAGCTATGGGTTGTGTGATGCTTTTTGGTCTTATGGTTTTGGGGAAGAACACATGGAGAGATTTAGATAATTGCCATTATTCTCCAGACCCAAAAATCTCATCTCATTTAATCTTTTTTTTTTTTCCCAAAGTATTATTTATTTTTTTAATGTATTGATTTTTTGTCTTTCTTTTTTTATAGATTTATTTATTTATTTATACAAGCACTGGGTACAGTCAGAAGCACAAGAGGGTGAGAGATTTCACCAGAGCCAGAGGGGAGAGCAGAGCAGGCAGACTGATGAAGTAGTACACTGCCGAGGGGAGTAGAGGGCAGCAGGAGAGGTCTGGGCTCCATGTGGGACCCTCACCGGGCGGCCGGGGATCCAACCGGCACTGCAGAGGCTGCAGGCAGCTTCACAACCCAGTGCTCAACTGCTGCGCCACCGGGTAGGCCCTCATATCATTTAATCTTAATAGTCATTTTAAAGGATAGCAATAAGTAACCCAACTTCATAATAGTATGCTGTCTTAGTGAAATTATGTAACTTACCCAAACACACATAGCTAGTAATATGAGAACAAAGATGCCAACCAAGGTTTGTTTCTAAAGTTTATTCAAGCTCTTTCTCCTACACAATGCAACCTATAGTCTCAAGTAGGAAGAGTTCCCTTTTAGCTTTCCAAAAAAGTAAGTTATTTATCTGTGTTGGTAATTTTAAAATTAAAATATTGGGAAATTTTATATTGCCGGTCTATTATGAGGATTGATGTGCCTTGTTTCTCTAGGACTCTTAATTTTCCCTAACATTCCTGTCTTTAGAAACTCAATCCCTCTTCTACAGAGCTGCCAGAGAATCTTTCTAAAATAACATAAATCATATTACTATATGAAATTCTTTTATAACCACTGCCCTCAAATATAAACTTTGAACTCTACAGAGTAATTTTAACTTCTTTAAAATCTTTCCTTGGACTGCATCTTCAAACGCCTGATACTTGCTACTTTAGGTGTTCACTCATCTGATAACATGTGAATGTCTACCATGAACCAAGCACAAGGGTAGGCTCTGGGAGATATACAAGATAATGTTGATGCTGTGTTACCCATGTCAAGGACAGTTCCCTGAATAGGTTATGCTGAGTCTTATTTTTATTTATTTTTAAAGATTTATTTATTTATTTATACAAGCACTGGGTACAGTCAGAAGCACAGGAGGGTGAGAGAATCCACCAGAGCCAGAGCAAGGAGCAGAACAGGCAGACAGATGGAGGACACTGCTGAGGGGAGCACGGCAGGAGAGGTCTGCGCACCATGTGGGACCCTAGCTGGCGGCCGGGGATCAAACCGGCACTGCAGAGGCTGCGGGCAGCCTCGCAGACCAGCGCTCAATTGCTGCGTCACTGGGGAGGCCCTTGAGTCTTATTTTTATAACCTCTAAGCACTATTTCTTATGTCTTAGACAGCCTTTCCTTTTGTTTTTTTTCATTTAGCTAACTTTTCTTCAGGAGGCCTTTTGTTACCTTCCCTTATCCTGATTCTACTGAATTAATTCTGTGCACCTCTGCCTGAGTTTATCTTATTGCTTATTTTGGTAGTCTTTCTCATTTTTGTGTGAACCTTGAATATAGGCAATATGTCCTCACATATCTCTAGAATCTAAAAGCTACGAGTAGCTATCATAAAGTATGATTTCAATGAAGGCATGTTGAATGTTGCTAAACAAGACATATCTCATTCAACATTGTCCCACTGGTAGGCAAGTCTGGCAAACTGAGTGCTTTCATTAGTGTTACAAGCTGGGTCTTCTTCAACTTGAGTGGTACTTGCCAATGTCTTGTCAGTTTACACTGTCGTATTCTATCAGTAATTAACATTTTATTTCATGATAATTACCTGATTCAGAGGAAGGAGTTGGACTGTTTTTCAAATGCAAAAGTACAGGGAATTTTTTTTTTTTGGGGGGGTTGAACATTTTCTGGAAGGATGATACACATACAGAAATGTACATAAATCACAACTATTAAGTTCAATTATCAATAGTTTTTTACAAGTTAACTATACCCAGGTCAAGAAAGAAAACACTATGAACACTTCAGAAAGCCCTGCTTGCATCTCCTTTCTAGGGTACTTCTCACCCCTCACCAAGGGTAATCATAATCCTAACTTCTAGGACTAAAGGTTAATTTTCCTTTTAATAATTTACATAATGGAATCATGTAGTATGTACTCTTTTTATTGGCTTCTTTGGCTCAGGCCCCTCCCCAACCTGTAATTCAACAAAACCAGGCTTTAGTACCTACAGAAGATGGGAAAACTTAAAAGTTTAAAATTAAATATAACTACAGAGCCACTGTAGAAATAGCTCAAAGCTCTAAATTACTGCTCCAAATACTTTTTTAAAGCAGGGAAATCAAAGCAGCTATGGGCAAAGAAATACAACTCATGGCACATGGAGACCTCCAGGGAATATGACTTCCCAAGAAGAAAACAACTCCCTAGAATCCAACCACAAAGACACAGAAGCTTTTGCATGCCTATCAAATACAAAGTTCAATTGCTATAAAAAGAGAGAGAAGAAAATGCAGAAAGGCTAATCAAAGTGATTCAAGAAGATTCAGAAAACCTAATCAGAGATACAATAAACTTTAGAAAAACAAATGAATGAGTTTAGAAATAAAATTAATGAGCAC